ATTGTTTTTTTTTGTCCAGCTAAATTTATTATAGCAATTTGATAATTCTTGAATTGTTGATTATTATTAATTATTGTGTGATCTATCAAAAAAATTTTTTCTTTTAGTTACTTCTTTTATAATCAAATTTATAGATTATTATTTATGTATTTATTTAGTTGTGAATTAACACTAAAATTTATTTTAAATTTAACTAAGTATAAGGAACTTGACTACTACGTCCTTTGCCCTGTTAAAGACTGTTATATACATATATTATAATGCTTGGCAAATATTGTTTAAATCTCTCAAAGTGGTTTTTATTATTATTATTATTATTATTATTATTATTATTATTATTATTATTATTATTATTATTATTATTATTATTATTATTAACATAGAGTTTCTTACTTCTCACTACGATTTGAGTTTTACTTATCTCGAGTTTTAAATACCCAGGTATGTAGCTCTAGTTGAGCATAGCCTCTGTTATATACCTTCGCAGATTATTGTTTGATGTGTGCTTTATTTATATATCTGGAGTATTCATGATTTCGAACAACTAAGTAAAATAGTAACAATGGTAACTGCCAATAACAAATACCTTTATACGATATGTGTATTGTTGTTGTTTTGCACAGTTACAATGTAATTCATTTACCGAGCTCATTACTCAAGATTATGAATACCCCGATTGTAATTCAATATTCATAAATTACGAAGAATGCTTTTTGCTGTTTTCTTAATCATAGAATTATAGAATTTTATATATAGAGAATATGGAATATGGAATTATTGTTTATTATAGAATTTTATATATAGAGAATATAGAATTATTATTTATTATAGAATTTTATATATAGAGAATATAGAATTATTATTTATTGTAGAATTTTATATATAGAGAATATAGAATTATTATTTATTATAGAATTTTTTATATAGAGAATATGGAATCATTGTTTATTATAGAATTTTATATATAGAGAATATAGAATTATTATATATTACAGAATTTTATATATAGAGAATATAGAATTATTATATATTATGGAATTTTATATATAGAGAATATAGAAATATTGTTTATATATATAGAGTTTATAATTTCTCTTCCTATAAGAAAATCATTTAACTATATTAAATAATAAATGATTATTGTTATCATCATCATTAAGTAGTCTCTCTGGTTCAGATCTCTGCCTCATAAAAATATAATTGAGATATTTAATTGAAATTATTGTAATTAAATTAAAATTGAAATTTCATGAAAAAATTAGTTCTATTCGGTTTATTAATTTTTAAATAATTTAAAAAAAAAAACATTAAATGCTAAACAATTAAAAAAACTTTTAAATAATTTAAATGACCTAAAAAGTTTTATTATCTCGAACTTAGTAACACACTATTGAGATGATTCATCCAATTAATATGGTAGTTGTGTTAGGTGACTAACTGGTACAATAGTATTTAATTTAAATTGTTTTTATTTCGTTTGCAAAAAAAAAAACTGCAAAAACAATTTTTTTAATATTAAAATTATCAAATAAATTGTTATTGTTTTTTTTAAGTTGCTTACTGAAAAAATTGATTAATGCAATTATAACTTCCGATTTCGATTAAATTTTAAGTTATATAGTTTATTATATATTTATCATGAGTTACATGTAATACACAACTATTATCCGAAATAAAATGAATAGTAAAAATAGACTATGGTTTTTCAATTAATAATTTGTCAATTATTTATTTATTTTTCATGATCCTAAATATACCTGAAAATTATTATCAGAATGAGTTTAAATTTTGTTATTATCTAGATACATTCTTCGGAGAGTTCGCTTTAGGCTAGTATCTAGATATTAACTTAGAAGGCCTGTAGACAAAATGCTGAATCAATTATATATTACTTTTGTCATGATGCATTAATAATAAATAGACATATGTATATAAATGTTAAAGCCTTTGGTTTATTTCGTAGGATGGGGTTCTAGACGTGTTCCAGTCGCCAGTTTGGTTGCTAACAGATGCAAAGGACATTTGGTTCAAAACGTGAGCGTTCCCGTTTCTAAACCAATATAGATTAGTTAGTCTACATAAATCTTCATATGTGGAATCAAGATCTAAAATTATTATTTAATAATTCTATTATATCAGACACATGTCATCATGAGATAGTAAATAAGTCGAATGTGCCTTGTTAACTAACCCGTTAATTCGACAATCTGTCATATCAGGCACATTTCATCTTTCTATATGGTAACTTAGAACAATATATCTTGTTGAAAAACCCACAGACAACCTATTTAGTATTCAAAAATTAACCTTGTCAAGCTAATTAAAAATATATGCAGGTTCCTTTTGCGCGACTTCTATCGTAGTGACATATCTATTATAACCATTAATTAAAATAATGTAAAGAATATAATAATTGTATATAATCCATTTAATGTAATTTCATATTTATTTAGCATTAAGTTGAAATATTTTAAATTTATTTATATTAAATTAAATTAATTATTTTATCTTATTAAAGTTTTATATCTTATTTCTATACTCTAAAATGCGTTTATTGCCCCTTGACCCATTTCAAATTTTCCGTTAACGTGAGGTTTTTTTTTTATATTGTATAAAAACATATATATATATATAAAAGTGTATACATTAAAGAATTAGACGAATTGAGACCAAAAAAAAAAAACAAAAATAAACGTTCCAATGAATTTGTATTGGTTAAGCCTTGTGTCGTCAAAATGTGTATGTATACTTCACTGATTTTCCATCCGTGATAATAAACTATTATCATTGCTATATTTCGCGTTTATATTGAATTACTTATCAAATTTTGAATGCAAACGTAAGCGAAACCGATTGTTAATTAGCATTGAATCACATGACAGCTCATGTAAGTTCACCTTACCGCGCTCATACGACATCTCTCCGACTGCATACGTGTAACTTTATTTTTTTTTTTGTTTTACTTCCAAACCTTACTACTTGCTTAAAAAAGTGTGTTAAACGCTTCGACACAGACTCACTCATACCTCAACACAATATTTTTTAAAGCTTGCCTGCAGACCAGGTACGTGGATCCCTATTTGTACAGACGAATATGTACGTGCCGAGTTTGTATGTATTGTCTATAGACAATACATCTTAGCGTTTGTTAGGTTTATTTTTTTAATATTTGAATGTTCAATGTCTGTATTATTCATGGGATTAATTGGAGAGCAAAAGAGCGAGGAACTTGTATATAAACCAGTTTTATACTGAATATTGTAATTAAGAGGTTTTTCGTTTTAGAGCTCGTTAAATGTTCAATATCTCGTATATAATTATTAGTTGTTGCTAATTTAATTTCAATTAAATTATTTAATTTTTAAATTAACATTTTCGAAGTATCTGACTTCACTCCTCCATAGCGAGAATTACATAAAATAAAAAGTTGACTTACACACAATCTATGCTGCTTACGCATATCATATATCTTTTTTGTCTACTTTGTTTACTCAAGTATTTATATAGAAATCATGTGCTTTGATAAAAATATTAAGATAAAATAAGACTCTTATCATCTTCATTATCTACTGGTTATTTAACAATTTAGTCATTTTACTTTAAACAGTATCACATGATAGATATACTAAAAAAAATTAATAAAATAAAATGTAGGTTAAAATAATTTATGTAATGAAATTATTTCGAATTATCTTCATATTACAGAGTTAAGAAAAAGTAGCTTCCATATTCTTTTTAGACTTTGTTTTTTTCGAGAATGCGACTAAAGAACATTGATACCCGCAGATTCTGTGAAAGACACAGGCCTTAGAAATGTATCCTGTACTACTATTTTAATTTTTTGAAATGAATGAGGTGACACTTCAATCAAAAAATAATATCCGATTAGAGCGGCTGATTTTTTTAGAGATAATGATATAGATCTTACACATCGCGGTGTATCATTGTTTCTACCAATAATAATAATAAATATGCATTATCTTATTCTATGTATCAGTAACTAATCCATACTTATTTTTTATTTTCTGAAAATATATTCTTTCATTAGGGGTGATTATTGTTTTTGTAATCTGTAGATTATGTACAGCGGTATGACTCATCTTATAAAATGTCTAGTAATTTGCAAAATAAAGTCTCAATATGCATTTTTCGAGCCCCCTTATGCATTGTGATTCGCTTCTCAACAGATTTTTACTAGATATTAGCCTGGGTAAAAGTGTTCTGTTCTAACTACTAAGATCAGAGTATTCTCTTTGAAGAGTTCCCGCAGCTGTAACTTCACTCTATGTGCTGCTATCGTTATTATTTTATTATTATTAACATGTTTACAATTTAAAAAAATTATAAACATTATCTTTTCATAAAGTTTCTCCAAATATCTCTATTGCGCGAAGTTTATCAATCGACTTTGCTATTTCCTAGGCTATTGTTCTTCGCCAAGTTATCTTCCATTGTAGTACAGCATGACGTACTTTGTTATTGTGCTATCGTTATGCTACAATATTTAACGGCACGCTATAATTTGAGTATAATTGTTTTGCGGTCAAGTCCAAATAAGTTAGCAGAACTCCAGCACCTTAACCCAAGTTTTATTTCAAAACTCTCCTTGCCCAAACTTTCGTTTCCTTTCATTTTACTATATAACACTTATTTTTTTAATAAACCATTCATTTCATATATTTTCACATTTCACTCCTCTTTCTTCTTCACACCCCTTCCTTCTCTCTTTCTCTCTCTTGTGAAGTCTCGTAGTCACATTTATGATTTCTTTTTTTTTCTTTACATGGCGATTTACAATAATGATAGCAATTGTGGAACATAGACCTTTCTCATACTTTGTATAAGTAAATTGTTATTTATATATTTTAATTATTAACATTTTCTATATAATATAACAAGATATAAAAACCGATGTTGGGAAAGTAGTCTAGTTTATGTATAAAAATTTTCTCTGTGAAAAGTCCGATTTCTAAATTCTATTTATTTTTTTTTATTTACAGCTTTGGGAGCCGCCTATGGAACAGCCAAATCAGGAACTGGTATTGCCGCTATGTCGGTGATGAGACCAGAATTGATCATGAAATCCATCATTCCCGTTGTCATGGCTGGTATTATTGCCATTTACGGTTTGGTCGTAGCTGTGCTTATTGCTGGTGCTCTGGATGAACCATCTAAATATTCACTGTATAAGTAAGTAAATTAAAAGTGTACATTAGGTTAAAAAAAAAACAGAATTTTAATTACCTTTCAGCATTATTGTTAAATAGTTTGTAACTGACTCTAAAAATACTATTATAACTTTAAAGGGCACAAAGAAGAGACCGGGTTCTCTTACATTCTGGGAATAATTAGACAAAACGTTTAATAATCAGATCAATGTTCTAACATCAATCTGTGTTGCAAATTATCAAAGTTCAATGCCCAACGACAGTTGTAGGTAGTCTAAATTGACGTACTGACAATTAAAACCAATAAATATTTCCGAAAAACTAGATTATAAATTAATTTTTGATATACAATTTGTATGCGATTGAAAAACAAAACCAGCTAATTTGTTAAATTGATTTATTATACTGCTTCAAATACTATTCGAGTATTTTAAACTAAAATAAAGCCAAAATAAATTGAAATGTGTAGTAGATTTCATGTTCGAGTAGTACGATTATCTTTGAGTAGTTTGACTATTTTCAAGTAGTTCGATTATTTTTAAGTGGCTTAAATTTTTTCAAGTAGCTTGGTTATCTTTAAGTAGCTAGATTATTTTCAAGTAGTTCGATTATCATTGTGAAGTTTGATTATCTTCGAGTAGTTCGATTATCATCTAGAAACTCAATTACCTTTAAACAATTCGATTATCTTTGAATAGCTTATCTCGATTATCTTTGGAAAGTTTTAAAATTTTGATTGTGTTCAAGAAGCTCAATTGTCAACAAGTAGGTCGATATTCTTCGAATATCTTCATTGTCTTCAAATAGCTCATATATAAATTATCTTCGAGGAATTCGATTAACCTCAAGTAGCTTGATTATCTTCAAATAGCTCAATTATCTTCAAGTAGCTCGATTATCATCGAGTAGTTCAATTGAACTACTTCGAGTATCTCGACTATCTTTCAGTAATCGAGTAACTCGATTATCTTCGAGTAGCTTGAATATGTTCGAGTGGTTCCATTATCTTCCAGTATCTCGATTATCTTTAAGTAACTCGATTATCTTCGTGTAACTCGATTGTCTTCGAGTAACTCGATTGTCTTCGAGTAACTCGATTGTCTTCAAGTAACTCGATTGTCTTCGAGTAACTCGATTGTCTTCGAGTAACTCGATTGTCTTCGAGTAACTCGATTGTCTTCGAGTAACTCTATTATCTTTGAGTAACTCTATTATCTTAGAGTAGCTCAAGTATATCGATTATCGACGAGTAGCTCGATTATCTTCAAATAACTAGGTTATTTTCGGATATCTTAATTAACTTCGAGTATCTTGATTATCGACGAGTATTTCGATTATCTTCAAATATCTCGATTATTTTTGAGTAGCTTGATTATCTTTAAGTTGGTAGAGCATTTTAAGTATTCTATGGATTCAAATATCCGAATTCGAGTATGCTTGAGTATCATAATGTTGAAACACTGAGACATCAGTTCATTTGTTTTACTATAATTTTTTTTTTGTATTTTAAGTTAGATTGGGATTAATGCGTCAATGAATTCACATAGGCCGAATACAGTTCCGTAACATTTTTCTTGGCCTCTTATTATTAGCGATCTCACACCTCTTTGGGGTTAATATTCTATTTTTTTTTAAGTTAATATTCTACTTACTGAGGATTAGTATTTATGTAAGAGTAATCTATCTGAACAGTTAACATTGTTATATGGGCTCGTTTTTTTTTCACTCTCTTTGTTTACTCTCGTTATTGGGTCAATTCTTTGAGGCAAAGCACTTACAACCGCATTTTGCATAGATGCATCATTCGTTTTCATATCATGTGACTCTAGGTCATGTTTTATTTTGCTGATCGATTCTATTTCAAATTACTGAAACGCACGCACTGAACACTGTTATTATGTATTTAGGCAACATCTATGCATAATGTTTTTAAAAGACAATTAAAAAAATTAAAACTAAAATTATAAGTTATAAATTATTTCTGTTAATGTTACAATAAATATTAAAACTATTTATTTTTTAGGGGCTTCATACATTTGGGTGCCGGTTTAGCTGTTGGTTTCTCCGGCTTAGCTGCAGGCTTTGCGATCGGTATTGTTGGTGATGCTGGTGTAAGAGGTACAGCACAACAGCCTCGCCTCTTCGTCGGCATGATTTTGATTCTCATTTTCGCTGAAGTATTGGGTCTGTACGGTCTCATTGTTGCCATCTATCTGTACACAAAATAAATCAAACAAACTGCAGCAACAATCATACAAAACGCAGTAAAATATATATTAAAAATATTACAACAGCAACAATAAATACAACAAGATCAACAAAAAGAAAGACAAAAACAATCGCAACAAAAGGATAAAGAATAGTCAAAATTTAGGAAATATATTTGATTTTGTTTTGAAATATTACAACACATAAAATAAAGGAAAAAGAGGGAATTTATAGTAACAATACAACCTACAACTTACAGACTTTTTTTCATTATCATTAAAGAGTCAAGTTTAAATTAAAATCTATATTATGAATAAAAATTATTAAATGATGTTGTATAAATTTATAAGTATTTAACGCTTAAATTATAGCTTCATATCAAATTTATATTGTAAATATTTCAAAACTAATTAATTTCTAATTATTATCCTTATTTGAATGATATGTTTTTGTAACGAACTATGTTGAGAAAAAATTATGCGTTCAATTTATTGATTGTTTAAAAATTTAATGTTTACTGTTAATACTTTATGTTTTAATTATTTTGTAATTTTATTGAATATCATTTATTTTTTTGCGTTATGTTTATGATTGTATTTTGCGTTATTTTGCAAATTGTACATGTAAATTTATATTATTTCAATTACAAATTTTTGTTTTTAAAAATTAATTATAATGAGAAACCACCATTGTCAAAAACAACAACAAAAACCACAAGAACAACACCAACATCCATAACAACAAAAACAAAAATTTTGACAAACAAAAAATTGTTAATATTTAGATAAAGGATACAACTATAACATCAAGTTGTAAGGATAACACTAGTGAAATTTCATTGTTGAGACGGGACAACAATAATTTAATTGTTATTTATGTTATGTAATTGATTAACAGACAAGAATGGCACAAAATTTTTCTTAAATATATATATATATACACACACACAAGCAAAAAAAGAAAAAAAATTGAGAAATTTTGATATATTAAAAAGCATCCATTAAATAACAATTAAATTGATTGCAGTCACGTTTGAAAAATATTTTTGTTTTGCTTTTAAATTTTATAAAAACCAAACAAAATAATATGAAATAAATTATTTTTTATAACATCCATATCCATATCCAGTTAATCTATTAAAACAACAAACAAATCAAAACAAAACAAACTCATAAAACAACAAACACATACATACACTGTAACTAAGTCCTATGTTTATTTTTAATTATTGTTCAATTATAAGAATAATATTTATAATAATATAATTATGATTATTTTTTGTGATAAGATATAATACGGTATTTATATATATATATATTAAAAGTAATAATACAAAACTGCATAATATACGTTTATATATTATATAAAATTATATACATATAATAACACATGTGTAAGCAAAAATTTGTTAAAAAACAACACATTGAAAACAAAACAATACAAAACAAAAATCACACATTTCCTCTGTTATGTATAGAAATGCAAATAATTATAAATATATTATTATGTAAAATGTAAAATTATAACAAAACAAAATATTGTAGTAGCAAAATGAGCGACGAAGAAGAAGTAACAAGAAAACAAAGAAAATGTTTAAACAAAAAACAACAAAAAAAGAGTAAAATCCCCTTTTTAAATAATAAATTAGAAATTGTAAGATAAATAATTAATCGCAAAAATAGTAAATGTAAAAGTATAAGTAAAAATGTGCACAACAATAAAAATAGCAACAACAACAATTAGCAAACAATTGCTTTTAAGCACAGTGAATTGATGCTGCTAAGACGTGGCATTCGAATATTGCTACCTTGTCTACCGATGCGTTTATGATGCTGAAAATGCGGAGGTTGGCAACCCTAGCAATATTATTTGCTGCCAGAATGTAGCATTTAATTGCTACATCATAATGCGTTCAAAAGACACTAAACTACTAGATAAGCAATTGTTATATTAATGTTGTTGTTTTTTTGTTGAACATATTTTTACTTTGAATTATAACAAAACGTTTAATACTTTTTTGTTTTCAATTTTATCAATTGTTTATAATTACAACAAAAACACTGCACAAAAAATGCTATAAATATGTCATCATTTATGTTGTTTCGTGTCAAATAAAGAGGAAAATAAAATTGCTACAAGAACAACAACATAAGTAATTAGCAAACAAATTTTTTGACAAAAAAGTTTATTAAATATGCGAGAAACTGTAACTGAAATTCAACAAACAAACGAGAAAGAAAATAAAATGTAATTTCTAATTTCCAACAAAAAAAAAAAAATATTGGACTTTTTATTTAATGGTATAAACAATATGTCATAAAAATATATTATTTTTAATAATATATCTTTGTTAATACTATGTTAGTATAAATAATATGTCGAACACTACACGTAACTGCTGGTATAGCCATTTTTGGGACTATTGTACGGCGCACAATAGGTTGTCAAACTCGACAAGTGATTTCGGGACGCAGACCCGACCGCTGTTATGTATTAATTGGAGCTCTAAGCCCCATGCTGTCGCATACCCGTTTTCATGTCCCAATGCATACATTAGGTTTAGCTCGAACGATCTTTGGATATGCCCCATTAAATAATTAGGTTTTCACGCCTAGACTTAGGTCGATTTCAATTCAAATCCTAACTATCTCCAGTCTATTCTCTCTCCTAAACAATTCCCTATCATCTCACAATACTATTTTGTACTCAAATCCTAATCCATGGAAACAACAACTGAACAGTTCTGATATATTTTTATATTATTAAACTAATATCAACTAGAAAGTTTGATAATGGAGAAAATAAGTATGGAAAAAGAAATAATAGAAAAGTTAGTATTAGTTTTTCACAAATAATATTTTATAGTACATTCCACTTTGGGACAATATTGGCTCAACAACTAGGTTGGTTTATTCAAGTAAGATACAAGGTAATCTTGTTATAAGTTAATTATTATATAAAATAACTTATATAGTTTCTGCATTTTCAGTTATCCACTTACGCAACTCAAACACGTTAGCATAAACTCCTGAATAATCTGGATTGGCACAGCCTTTACCCCAAGATACAATTCCAACTAATTCACCGTTAACAACTAAAGGACCTCCAGAATCGCCTTGGCATGAATCTTTACCTTTGGCTCCGGCACAAATCATGCTTGGTTCAATTGGAAATAGTTTGTATTGAACCTCACATATTAAACGATTAACAATATTTAAATTAACATATTGTAACTGTGGTGGAAGCGAAGAAGATCCCTGTTCCATAACTCCCCATCCAGTAACAACTGCAGGAGTACCACCTGCTGGTTCAGTAGTGGTTAATGGTATAGGTTGAATATTACTACCCAATGGTAATGGAGATATTAAAAGTATTACGCCAACATCATTACGGTAATTTTCTGAGCTATAATTTTCATGAATCTTAAATTTAGCTACTTTAACGACCACACCATCTTTATTCCAGAAAGATGAACCAGCTCTTATTTGCAATGCGGAGACAGTCATATTTTTTAAACAATGCGCAGCAGTGACAATTATTTTGTCATTAAATATAGAACCACCACACAAATGTGACTCCATATATTGTAATGATATTTGCCATGGATAATTCAGAATATCTGCAGGTAATCCACCCACAATGCGTCCTTCTGGTTTAGGAAACAATAAACTCGAACGCACATACGAAAATATTGATAACAAAATTACTAACTTGATCATTGTCGATTTTAGTAAATGAATTCTTACTGCAGTTTCTTCACTATTTATATGGTATAAAATATTGTAATATATTTAAGAATGAATGGACCAATCCACTTTTTATATAATAATACAGTTAATGTATGTATCTATTGGATTTATCAGTAAATTTTTTTACAGCTTTTTCGTGACGAGTACTATATTAAAATATCTGCCAAGTTAAAGATGTTAACGGAATAATAAATAATGGGTGCTTATAAAATTGACTGAAGGATTTTAAATTGATTTTACAACTAATACAAACGTAAGGACCCAAATTTCATTAAGTTGTTATTGTATTATACCTTCTTACATTAAGAACACCTAAGAGTCGTAAGATCTTTAAAATTATCATATAGTTTTGGACACATTCATCTGTACGATTGATCAACTGCCACTCAGTTTCACCATTACGGTTCCGTAATGGGATAACCGTAATTATTTTTTTTTTTCATTAAAAACTACTTAATATTTAATGATATTCTTATATAATTTATTTTTATTATAATAGCATAAATGTACTTCGACCGTTGCGTTATCATTTGAAAGCATTACCACTTAATTACTAATATAGTGGATGTCCATTATCAGGGTCTAAAATATCTTAATTCTAAACTATAGTGATTAGTGCCATCTATACCTCACCATAGATAATGTTTTGTTTTAAACTGTTTAACGACGCGATGTTCGACAATGAACACATCAAGATTTGTACACTAGAATCACCCTACGAATTTAAAGCCTCTTAAAAATAATCATACTATATATTCATTCTATCCATTCTAATATAAGTAATTTTTTGTGAAGGAAGATAGTAGAACAAAAATAGTATATGTAAAAGTATAAGTAAAAATGTGCACAACAATAAAAATAGCAGCAGCAACAACAACAACAATTAGCAAACAATTGATTTAAAGCACAGTGAATCACGCCTTGACTTAGGTCGACTTCAATTCAAAGCCTAACTATCTCCAGTCTATTCTCTCTCCTAAACAATTTCCTATCATCTCACAATACTATTTTGTACCCAAATCCGAATCTATGAAAACAAAAACTGAACAATTCTGATATATTTTTATATTATTAAACTAATAAATAATAGAAAAGTTAGTATTAGTTTTTCACAAATAATATTTTATAGTACATTCCACTTTGGGACAATATTGGCTCAACAACTAGGTTGGTTTATTCAAGTAAGATACAAGGTGATCTTGTTATAAGTTAATTATTATATAAAATAACTTATATAGTTTTTGCATTTTCAGTTATCCACTTACGTAACTTATACACGTTAGCATAAACTCCTGAAAAAACTGGATGGGCACAGCCTTGACCCCAAGATACAATTCCAACTAATTCACCGTTAACAACTAAAGGACCTCCAGAATCACCTTGGCATGAATCTTTACCTTTGGCTCCGGCACAAATCATGCTTGCTTCAATTGGATTCAATAGTTTGTATTGAATCTCACACATTAAACGATTAACAATATTTAATTTCACATATTGTAACTGTTCTGGAAGCGAAAAAGATCCCTGTTCCATAACTCCCCATCCAGTAACAACTGCAGAAGTACCACCTGCTGGTTCAGTAGTGGTTAATGGTATAGGTTGAATATTACTACCCAATGGTAATGGAGATATTAAAAGTATTACGCCAACATCATTACGGTAATTTTTTGAGCTATAATTTTCATGAATCTTAATTTTAGCTACTTTAACGACCACACCATCTTTATTCCAGGAAGATGAACCAGCTCTTATTTGTAATGCGGAGGGATTCATATTTTCCAAACAATGAGCAGCAGTGACAATTATTTTGTCATTATATATAGAACCACCACACAAATGTGACTCCATATATTGTAATGATATTTGCCATGGATAATTCAGAATATCTGCAGGCAATCCACCCACAATGCGTCCGTCTGGTTTAGGAAACAATAAACTAGAACGCACATACGAAAATATTGATAACAAAATTACTAACTTGATCATTGTCGATTTTAGTAAGTGAATTCTTACTACAGTTTCTTCACTATTTATATAAAATTTTGTAATATATGTAAGAATGAATAGACCAATGCACTTTTTATATAATAATACAGTTAATGTATGTATCTATTGGATTTATCAGTAAATTTTTTTACAGCTTTTTCGTGACGAGTACTATATTAAAATATCTGCCAAGTTTACAATGTTAACGGAAAAATATATATAACTAAAAACTCAGCTTGTGCAATGTTTATAAATAATGGGTGCTCATAAAATTGACTGAAGGATTTTAAATTGATTTTACAACTAATACAAACGTAAGGACCCAAATTTCATTAAGTTGTTATTGTATTATACCTTCTTACATTAAGAACACCTAAGAGTCGTAAGGTCTTTAAAATTATCATGTATTTTTGGACGCATTCATCTGTACAAATGATCAACTGCCACTCAGTTTCACCATTACGGTTCCGTAATGGGATAACCGTAATTATCTTTTTTTTTCATTAAAAACTACTTAATATTTAATAATATTTTTAAATAATTTATTATTATTATAATAGCATAAATGTACTTCGACCGTTGCGTTATCATTTGAAAGCATTACCACTTAATTACTAATATAGTGGATGTCCATTATCAGGGTCTAAAATATCTTAATTCTAAACTATAGTGATTAGTGCCATCTATACCTCACCATAGATAATGTTTTGTTTTAAACTGTTTAACGACGCGATGTTCGACAATGAACACATCAAGATTTGTACACTAGAATTACCCTACGAATTTAAAGCCTCGTAAAAATAATCATACTATCCATTCTAATATAAATAATTTTTTGTGAAGGAAGATAGTAGAACAAAAATAGTAAATGTAAAAGTATAAGTAAAAATGTGCACAACAATAAAAATAGCAGCAGCAACAACAACAACAATTAGCAAACAATTGATTTAAAGCACAGTGAATCACGCCTTGACTTAGGTCGACTTCAATTCAAAGCCTAACTATCTCCAGTCTATTCTCTCTCCTAAACAATTCCCTATCATCTCACAATACTATTTTGTACCCAAATCCTAATCCATGAAAACAAAAACTGAACAATTCTGATATATTTTTATATTATTAAACTAATAAATAATAGAAAAGTTAGTATTAGTTTTTCACAAATAATATTTTATAGTACATTCCACTTTGGGTCAATATTGGCTCATCAACTAGGTTGGTTTATTCAAGTAAGATACAAGGTAATCTTGTTATAAGTTAATTATTATATAAAATAACTTATATAGTTTCTGCATTTTTAATTATCCACTTACGCAACTTAAACACGTTAGCATAAACTCCTGAATAATGTGGACTGGCACAGCCTTCACCCCAAGATACAATTCCAACTAATTCACCGTTAACAACTAAAGGACCTCCAGAATCACCTTGGCATGAATCTTTACCTTTGGCTCCGGCACAAATCATGTTGGATTTAATTTGAAATAGTTTGTATTGTAACTTACATATTAAACGATTAACAATATTTAAATTAACGTATTGTAACTGTGGTGGAAGCGAAGTAGATCCCTGTTCCGTAACTCCCCATCCAGTAACAACTGCAGGAGTACCACCTGCTGGTTCAGTAGTGGTTAATGGTATAGGTTGAATATTACTACCCAATGGTAATGGAGATATTAAACGTATTACGCCAACATCATTACGGTAATTTTTTGAGCTATAGTTTTCATGAATCTTAAATTTAGCTACTTTAACGACCACACCATCTTTATTCCAGAAAGATGAACCAGCTCTTATTTGTAATGCGGAGGCATTCATATTTTTCAAACAATGAGCAGCAGTGACAATTATTTTGTCATTAAATATAGAACCACCACACAAATGTGACTCTATATGTTGTAATGATATTTGCCATGGATAATTCAGAATATCTGCAGGTAATCCACCCACAATGCGTCCTTCTGGTTTAGGAAACAATAAACTCGAACGCACATACGAAAATATTGATAACAAAATTACTAACTTGATCATTGTCGATTTTAGTAAATGAATTCTTACTGCAGTTTCTTCACTATTTATATGGTATAAAATATTGTAATATATTTAAGAATGAATGGACCAATCCACTTTTTATATAATAATACAGTTAATGTATGTATCTATTGGATGTATCAGTAAATTTTTTTACAGCTTTTTCGTGACGAGTACTATATTAAAATATCTGCCAAGTTTAAGATGTTAACGGAATAATAAATAATGGGTGCTCATAAAATTGACTAAAGAATTTTAAATTGATTTTACAACTAATACAAACGTATGGACCCAAATTTCATTAAGTTGTTATTGTATTGTACCTTCTTACATTAAGAACACCTAAGAGTCGTAAGGTCTTTAAAATTATCATATAGTTTTGGACACATTCATCTGTACGAATGATCAACTGCCACTCAGTTTCACCATTACGGTTCCGTAATGGGATAACCGTAATTATCTTTTTTTTCATTAAAAACTACTTAATATTTAATAATATTTTTAAATAATTTATTATTATTATGATAGCATAAATGTGCTTCGGCCGTTGCGTTATCATTTGAAAGCATTACCACTTAATTACTAATATAGTGGATGTCCATTATCAGGGTCTAAAATATCTTAATTGTAAACTATAGTGATTAGTGCCATCTATACCTCACCATAGATAATGTTTTGTTTTAAACTGTTTAACGACGCGATGTTCGACAATGAACACATCAAGATTTGTACACTAGAATCACCCTACGAATTTGAAGCCTTTTAAAAATAATCGTACTATATATTCATTCTATCCATTCTAATATAAATAATTTTTTGTGAAGGAAGATAGTAGAACTATAGACTCCTTTGATGTAAGATAAATGAAAAGTACCGCAGTTATGAAGATATATTAATATCAGCAATTCATTCACATTTTGAATACTATACAATCGATATAATTTTTAATCAGCACAATAAATTAAGACGATGCCGACTGTTTGTCCATTATTAGAGAACATAGTCTCTCTATTTTTTTAAGTTAATCAAATGACACTCTTCATGGTGAGCTTCAAATTTAGCAGGGCCCGAGTTCAACCCTAGGTACTGGCAGTCTCAAAAAATTATTTACTAATAGTTAAAAATAAGACAACTGATGATGGGTGTTTGGCAATACTTGAAATAGATATGGTTGGCCAAAATTTCAATTATTTAAAAAAATAATAAAAAGTGTTGTTGCAATTTCACTACTGTACGTTGGAGTGGCGGTCTTGTATCCCAAAAAGCCCACTTGAGCTCAAATAATGGCCCATTGTGGTTAAAAACCTCTCTATTGAAAACAATAGTTTATATTAAGAATTAAGAATCAATTAAATGGTGGCTTTCTATGAATATAGCTAACTCAAATCGACACCTGGAACAAATGAGTTTATTATATCATATAGTGCATATACAAAATAATTATTATATATAAGATTCTAATCTCAAAAATATATGAACATTAAATCTAATGTTAAAAACAAATTTAATAATTTAGCAATAAATAATTTACTAATAACAAAACTATCTATGTCTAGAGTATTGAAAATTCTTTAAGGATAAAGTAAGTGGTCTTGTATATTTTTCAATACAGAAGATTACAATATTATTTGGTAATTTCGTTAAATAAATTAGTAACTCCTGGTTATAATTATTATCTGGGCTATAACAACATATATGCCTATACTCAAATCTCTGCGATTTTTCAGATACACTAAATTAAATTATTTATATTCTTTTGTTTGAAAACCACAAATATGGGTGACATTAAAATAAACAATACCATATTATATCTCTAATATAGTTAATTGGAAGTACTCAAAACAAAATAAATAGATGGACATAATCTCATATCTTAGACTAATGAATTAGTTAATTAGTAGAGACAAGCTGCTAGCATACCACTTCAGTTTCAAACTGACATCCATTATTTACTATTTATCAACTGTTATCTACACAATGTTACTAGACTCTTTTGAGATAGTATATTTTTCGACAATTCATTGTTTTATCTATAATCGTTTTTAAAGTATTATTCTTATCTAAAAATAACATAAATTATATATAATTTAAAAGACAATAAACTAATTTATTTAATATAAAATTTTTTCTTCTTTATTAGATAATCAAAAATAATTATAATAAATATTTCATATATACTACATATATAATGTAGTATATATAATATAATACACATGTGTTGTAAATTAAGATTCATATTTTATATATTCATTGTCATTTATGCATTTATAGCATGCATTGCGGAAACTGTTTAATCTGCTAATATATTTGCATCCATCGTCACGCATAATAGATTGAATAACGGGTTTTATATTAGTAATGTCCGCAATAGTCGCCAATTCATTATAGTACTCAAACTAGAAAAAAAAATTAATTAAATAATTAACACATGCACTATATATGTATATATTAAAACTATATTAAATATGAGGAGACATACTTGTCGTGGACCCAAAAAATGTGCACGTTTTTTTGGTAACTTTTGTGATCTACGCGTTTCCAAGTCGTGCTCCAGGTCAGCCAACATCTCTGCACGATCCGGTAATTGTATTTGTTTCGTATAAAATTTTAGTGCAAAACGTACTTGCAAGTCAAAGACCTGTGAGGGTAAAACATTAAATGGTATTCCAATAAATGACATCGTATTGTAATTAATATTAATGCAATGTTTATAAAGAGGCTGAACAAAATTATCATCAACGTGTATCCCACAATCTGTGCTCAGAAATGGGAAAGTATATTTATAGCCCGTACAGAATATAACAAATGTAAAGGTTTCTATACTGCCATCTTTAAAAACTGCACCTGTTTTGGTAAATCGTTCTAGATCAGGTTTATGTATAACATTGGTCATGAAATCAGTGTTTGGATTTGTTTCCATATGATGACTTAAATAGACTTCTTTTGCACTATCATGTATGTGTGCAGCAATATCCATGCCACTAGGACCAACACCTATTATTAGAACATTTTGATCTGTAAGAATATTCAGTTTTGTTTTACATATATATTTTGTATAACTATAATATTATAAATGTATATAGATTACCCTTGAACATATCAGGTGTCCGATATAAATGACTATGTAGTCGTTGTCCTTCGTAGATATCCAAATCTTTAATAGTGGGATAACTAGGTTTGGTATAATGTCCATTGCAAACAAATACAAAATCAAAATATTCTATAAAGTATTGATCGGTTGCCATGTCCTTGATGAGTACCTTAAAATATTTAAATGTTTTGAAAATTGAGTAAGGTTGGTATATAATGGTATAGGTATAAAGAATTATATATATTAAAAAGAGTATTTACATGTGAATATCAACCAACATATAGGTCTCTATATAATGGAAACAGATATACCAAAATTTGTTGTAGTATAGTAATAGTTCAATGTTATTCTCCTAATCAGGAAATATGGAAACAGTAGTCTATTACTAAATTACTGTAGAAGCTTTTTGTGCTTCAGAGAACGTTAGATTAAATAGTTTAAATTATATTGGAGAACCATTTAATTATTTTTCTATTTACATATTAATAAAATTTTTCTTTTCTTTTTTAAACTAATAGCGTAATCTTATCGCTATAAATTGTTGATAACATTTTTACTAGAAATGTAATGTTAAGGTAGCACTAGAACATTTAATAATCGTTAACTTAAAAGAACTTAGACATAGTTTTGATCAAGAAATTTTAAAAATTAGCTATCTTTCACATTGTTAAAGATTGACTAATACAATTATTACATAAAGGGTTCTAAAAGTTTTTGAGCTGCTTTACTTGTAAATAATATTATATCTATATTAAAAATTATACCCACTCACCTCCCATATGTCTCTTCTCGGTCGCACTCTGATAATTTCATGTCGTAATTTTATATGTGAACCTAAATTAAAATGTTTTGCATAGGATTGCAAAAATGTTAAAACTTCACCACATGTGATATAAGATTCTTTAACGCTTTCTGGAAAGTCATAATCTGCAAAACCCATTACTTCTTTTGGTAAATTGGTTCTAAAAATTGCAACATTCAATTAATTATTAACTGTCTATCTGCAACTTATCTGCAGCGTCACGAACCGCAAATCCTTATACATACTACTCTGCACATCGTCTTCATGTTCTTCATTTTCAGTTGGTTCATAATAAACCCACGTACCACCGATTTGGTCACATTGTTCGTATGCAGTTGCTTGCATTCCATGCTCAATCGAGTTTTTCAGTGCACACAAGCCCGCTGTACCGGCACCTATTATGCAAACACGATTTGTAACGTTCATTTTTTTTTTTTTATTTTATTTTATTAAATCAAAGTAAACAATGTTGATGAAATATCACAAAAACGAAAAGGAAATAATGATAAAAACACGCTTTCTTTATTATCGCTGGATCGCTTGCCAGTACTTAACTGACCGCTTAGCGATTGTTTCCACATAATTTAAATGGAATATAGACTCTTGTGCTTCTCTCTCTACTGACACTTTCTCCATACAATAATAAAAAATTCTATATATTATTTTTGTGCTCAGTCACTTATTTTTTTTTTTGCAGTTTCATATTAAAGTTTATTAAAATTAAAGTCTATTTTTTGTTGCAACAAAATTATTATAAATTTTTTTAGCCAAAAGCTCATTTGAAAGTAAAGCTAAACAAAAACTTAATTAAAAAGTAATAGAATATTTTTTTTAAAAATGATCGATACTGTACATCTCCTTTTTGGAAGTTAGAAATGTATCTATTATTATTATTGAAAAGAAGGGATCGTGCACTGCGACCTAAAAGATCTATTGTGCCTCTTAGCTGGATAAGAGTGTTTCTCCAAGTTCGATTTCTTTAATGAAAGATGGTATAGAGGTTATCTTTCCAAGATTAGGAAGACTATCTAACCCAAACATATATACAGAGACCATTTAATGTAATATAATTAATTCTACAAACTAATACTTAATAATTAATTATTGTATATTTAATAACTAATAAATTATTAGTTATTAATTGTAAAGATTATTTTAATTGATAACTATTAACATAAATTAACTAATGTCGGCGATCAGATGGCAGTGTGGAAAAGATACTTCGAAAGAACGCTTAATATAATACATGACAACAATGAAACAATGAAAACAGTGAACAGTTACAAGGGGTTAGACAAAGCAATCCTAATAGATCCATATGTTAGAATGCAGACCACTGAGTACTGAAGAAATATACGATGCAATTCTATCTCTAAAATCAGGTAAAGCATCGGGACACGACAACTTGCCTGCAGAAGTATTTAAAGCAATACCGGAAACAATGTCTGAAAATTTACATCTCCTGTTTGTCGAGGTATAGAACACGGAATGTATCCCAAAAGAATAGAAAAAGGCTGTCATAATCAAGATTATTAAAACAGGAGATAGGAAAAAATGTTTTAATTGGAGAAGTATATCTTTGCTGCCAACAATAAACAAAATATTCACGAAGTTAATTTGAAGCCGCATCATTGAGTCACTTAATAATATACTCTGGCAGAATCAAGCAGAGTTTCGCTCTGGTCTGTCATGCAGAGATCACATAAACACTATAAGAATATTTATTGAGCAGTAGGCAGAACTCAACACCAATCTATATCTCATCTTCATCGATTTTGAAAAAACACTTGATGCGTTAAAACGCGAATAAGTGTGGAAGTTGCTTGCAGCTAGAGGTATCCTGATTAAAATCGTCAATATTATTAAAAGCAGGTATGATGGAGTTACATGCAGAATATTACACAATGGTGCGCTGAGCGATCGATTCAATTCCATCATCCAATGGTGTAAGGCAGGGTTGTGTGCTTTAGCCACTTCTTTTCATAACGGCATTGGACGCAGTGCTAGAGACCCTGGACATGTATAATTATTTCATATGGATTTATATACATATTTAAAATTAGTTTCATTAATCATAAGATCTATTGCTCTAAAATAATTTTATTGACATATTATTTAGACAAGTTTGGTTAGAATTGTTGTTGTTTTAACCGGTCAAGTGGTCGCATAGGTTCCTGCGTTGATACGTTAGAGCGATCTCATCATCGCGGTCTTAAATATGTGATCTCTTGGTAGGTTGAGTAAATTTCTTTTTTTTTTTGTCGACTTTTGAGCATATTAATCTGGATGTCACATAGATGTCAAGTACCAGAACCAATTGATCTTTAGAGTGATACTGTTTTTCAATAGTAATAAACAAATGTGATAGTTAATTTAGTTTGACTTCTGTTCTACGTTCAGTGGGAGATAACTACCTCGTATGGCTGATTCATTGGATCTGCAATATCCTTCAATATCATTTCGGAACCTATATTAGGCATACTCTTAAAACGGTGCTGATATCGTTTCAAACTGTTAGGCAATTCTGTGTATTGAATATTAATCTTTAATATTAATACCACCGAATTCATTGATTTAAAGACCGTTGAAGTATTAGTTTTCTTTTTGTTTTTTGTTGAAATTAAAATTCATATGGGTTCCACGGACAATAGAGGTTTGTTCGCGTAGAGGTCCGTGAGCGTGGTTAGGGATATATACAACCGAAATTCGTCAGGTATCCAGAGCATTCCGTTTGAACGAAAGTATGTTCTTTTATCTATGCTCCTAATTGAACATCGATGCTGGTCGTACAACGTCGATACACTACTTGTATTTTCATGAGTTGAGTATCACTTACAAGGTCTATATTTACCAACTTCAACATAACGCAAGCGCATCACTATCCTAGCATATTATATTGGATTACGTTTACATAAAAGTTGTTGTTTAAAATTGAGACCTAAATAAGAATGTGTGTATTATTCGATAATAACATAAAAAAGTTATGTTCATTATATACTTAACGTGTGATAATAGCTGTGTTTCAGCAAACATGATCCGCTCAATTTTACATACAAAACAAAAACAATGGGGTGAACCAGCAATTGATCTGGTTCAATTTCTGGTTCAATGTGGAATGTATATAAAAGATAAAAGTGGAACGTATTTTAATGCAAATAAGGTTGGCAATGCGATGCACGGTGCAGTAAAATTTTAAACAAATCTAAATTTATATTTATTTACTATTTATTTTATTTATTTATTATTTATTTTATGTACTTATTTAATTAATATGTCATTATTATTTATTTCTTTGTTTAAAGTAACGTTCTAATTATCAATGTAATTAAAATTATTACTTTAATAATTTACGTTTTATTATTATTGAAAAAGTGTTGTTTGATAATTTATTAATATCAATTAATTTGAAATGAATATATAAAAATTAAGTTGAATACATTTATTTAATTAAAACAGAACAATACATAAGAAACCAGGCTCTCCAACATATACGTTTATAAAAAAATCATTTTCATCGCAAACTGCCTGCAAGATTAAGCCATAGTCATGCTTTCTTTTGAAATAAGCCTATTTGCTATGGTTTGGTGCATTTATTTTTAGATGTGTACTGTCTATGCAACCAATTACGAACGGGAATTTTTTCGAAGCTTCCATTTTTGCATTATTAGCAAGTGCGTATTTTAAATTAGTGTCCAATTGATATAAGCTAAACACTAGTTTTTTTAATTATTCTCCACACGGAAGCTCTTGGTATGCCAAAACAAATACCAAATTTGCAAAAAGTATTCATATTTGCCATATACCATAAAAATATATAAAATTACTTCATTGCTCTCGTCCAAATGTGATCATCACGGTTATTTTGCATTTGCTGATTGGAATTTATTAACAAATCTATTAAAATATGAAACATAATTAATATATAGCAATTGTATTTTTTATGCGCAAATATCAATCAAATAATCTTTAACGAAAAAATTATTGATCGTTTCCACAAAACTTCTACTATATCTATGCTGATACACTTCATCCCTTGAGCTTAATACCATACACTTGAACTAGTAAAAAGGGAATGGAAGAGTCAGTTTCGCTCGATGATTCTAATAACATATGCAATTTTCATTTATTAACTACAGAATTAAATTTAAGTTTTTAAGTAAATACTTCAGACATTTCAACAGATTTTATTTATTTTCCATTTTTTAGATTTTTTGTATTCAAAATTTTCTCACTTTTTTTTTTAGCGCCAAAATTATTCACACAAATCAAAAAATTTTGTACACAAACCCAACTGTCATATTTCATGCGTTGCCAATTATTTTCAAACGTGATCCGTATCGTTTCAGCAAAGATGATTCAGATCATTGAGCGGATCATGTTTGCTGAAACACAGCTAATATTAAAACACAACAAACACGTTTATGCGCCAATAAAGAAAAGTGCTACATCCAATACTTGACATACTATTGTGAATGTTTCCCGCGAAAGAATATCGAACAGCTGATTGACTTTTTGTTTGTTAGAGAAAGTAAACAATTTTTGCCAGACTGAAAAAAGTGGTTCACGTTAATATTGCATTTTAATAAATTAAATAGTAAACAAATTATAAAAAAAATGGACTACGATTTTAAAATGAAAACACAAATAGAACGCACAAAAGTGGAGGATTTATTTGCGTTTGAAGGTTGTAAAGTGGGCCGTGGCACATATGGCCACGTTTACAAAGCTAAATGGAAGGAAACTAGCGACGGCAAAGAATATGCACTCAAACAAATCGATGGCACTGGTTTGTCCATGTCTGCTTGTCGTGAAATTGCATTGCTCCGTGAGCTGAAGCATCAAAATGTCATAACATTAATTAGGGTATTTCTATCGCACAATGACCGAAAAGTATTTCTACTAATTGACTACGCTGAACATGACTTATGGCATATAATCAAATATCATCGTGCAGCTAAAGCATCCAAGAAACCTGTTATAGTGCCGCGCGGTATGGTTAAAAGTTTACTGTACCAAATTTTAGATGGAATACATTATTTGCACAGCAATTGGGTGCTACATAGAGATTTAAAACCGGCTAACATATTAGTAATGGGTGATGGCAATGAGCGTGGCCGTGTGAAGATAGCTGATATGGGTTTTGCGCGTCTCTTTAATGCGCCTCTAAAACCACTAGCAGATCTTGATCCTGTGGTAGTGACATTTTGGTATCGTGCACCAGAGTTGCTACTGGGAGCGCGGCATTATACAAAAGCTATTGACATTTGGGCAATCGGCTGCATATTCGCTGAATTGCTCACATCAGAACCAATTTTTCATTGCCGTCAAGAAGATATAAAAACCAGCAATCCATATCATCATGATCAATTGGATCGTATTTTCAATGTAATGGGATTTCCACAAGATAAAGAATGGGAAGATATCAAAAAAATGCCTGAACATCATACATTAATTAAAGATTTTAAGCGTTCTAATTACGCCACCTGTTCATTAGCTAAATATATGGATCGTCATAAAATTAAACCCGATAGTAAAGCATTTCATTTATTGCAAAAACTTCTACTGATGGATCCAAATAAACGTATAACTTCGGAACAAGCTATGCAGGATCCTTATTTCCAAGAAGATCCATTACCTACACAAGATGTTTTTGCCGGTTGTCCTATACCGTACCCAAAACGTGAATTTCTAACTGATGATGATCAAGAAGACAAGAATGATAATAAACGGCAGCAACAGCAGCAGCAGCAACAACAGCAGCAGCAACAACAGCAGCAACAACAACAGCAGCAACAACAGCAACAGCAGCAGCAACACCACAATGAAGCGAAACGTGTACGTTTATCAGCACCAAATCAGCAACAACAACAACAAGTGCAGAATCAACAAGATTTTCATCATCAGCAGCAACAACAACAGCAGCAGCAACAACAGCAAATGATGTTTAGTCAGCAGCAACAAAATTTTCAACAACGTTTTTAAAGACTTCAATTGGTTAGGCAATAAAATTGATCCATTTTTTATGTTAATTAATACATGTTTTTACTCTTTAGAAGGAATTTAATAAGTTGAACTGAATGTTGATGGGAGCGATCAAAGGTAGTGAAGCAATGAAAAATAGTTGTAGTTATTGTCAAAGAGCCAAGATTATTCGTACGTCTCTTGTTTAATAATATTCATAAGTTTTGAGAATATCAGGCTCTTAAGTAATACACCAACATTAAAGCCAATTGTCAACGTCTTCTCTTAAAATAACAATAGAGATCTCTAATTTTTTCTATCAACATTCTAATCTATAAGTGAATATTTCGATATAGAAAGAGTGTTTCGAAGAACGGATGGGTCTACGTCCCATTCGCCAATTTCGACAAAAAACCGGCGTTTATCACCTTCCGAAGGGTCTACATAATCCCTATGGGCTACAACAACAACATATAGAAACAGTGTGATCTTCAAGGTAAAATTTGTAAAGCAATAAACTTCTCAACAAGCCTTCACTTAAAATCTCTAGAGATAAAAAGCAATGTCTTTCTTTAATAAGAACTGTCCTAGTCCAATTAAGTTCAGGATGTTCCTATGTGCGAAGAAAATATTTTACACATATAGCCACATCAATTCGCAATATGTACCCCAACTGTAGCTCTATTCTCCATTATATAGTCAGTCTATTCTCATGTCTAAGTTGACAAACACATTTGATTTCTATTGATCTATGGGAATTCCGTCCTTTGCTCTTACTAAGAACGGTTTCTTTACCCAAAGTATAATACATAAATACATTATTATTATGTTGAGAGACAAGTTGAGTCAGTGCACCTGAGCACTTTTACTCTATATTAACTGCGAGGTTTCTTCAAAACCCCTATTTGTGCCTTGACTGGATTATTATTTATCACATCATCAGACTAAGTAATAATTGACCTCAGATCTGCATACCTGTAAACACATTATAATAATAACAATAAATGTATTGTAAATACACCTTGGATATAATAATAATAATGATATGGGACTAGTATCCATATATGGAACTCCAAACTGGATTACAACTGCATTAAATTAACAAATCTTTATAGAAAATAGTATTTTTTTAATTAATTAGAATAATTAATCAATTGAGATTATTAATTAGTTTTTTAATACGGTATCTTATTACTATATAAGATATGACCTGATCGTTTAAATTCTTGTAAAACAAAATATATATTACAAATGTTTTTAGTTTTTATTAGATTATTGATTCAGTTTTGGAATAATATACATACACTCTTATATCTAACGAAATTATTCCTTTATGGTGCACTTAACAAAGTTATGATTATCAATAATCTCATAACAACTATTTCGATAACTCTCCAACTCACTGACATTCTTAGCATCAAAATCAGCTCGTATCTTTTGCACAACTGGCTTTATATTCTCAATGTCAGCAGTTTCCGATAACTCCTTATAGTAATCATACTAAAATTAGATATTAATAAAATAAAATTAATTTAATATTATTATTTAGTAGTCACTTGCCTGTAATTCTCCCATTTGATGTGATTGCCGTTCTGTTAACCCACCTTGTAAGCGTTTCTCATATGTTTCTTCCACCTCTCTCAACATTTCTTCAGCACTGGGTAATTCCTTAGTATAAGTGAAATACTGCAGTGCAAAACGTACTTGCAGATCATACAATTGCAATGGTATGACGTTAGTTGGAATACCTATCAAAGCCATAGTTGGATTATTAATATTGATGATATGTTTGTAGAGTGGATAAACTCGATTGTTGCGCAAACGTAGATCACAATCTGTGCTTAGGCATGGATATGAATATTGATATCCTGTATAGTATATTATATTTGAAAATGCTACTTGACTATCATCCAAGAAAACCGCGCCAGCTTCAGTTAATTCTTTGACATAAGGTTTTTGAATAACATTTGACATAAATGTAGTATCCGGTGGTGGTAAAAAGTTGTGGGACAAATAAACTGTATCTGCTGTTTTGGAAATCTGTTTGACTATATCCAAGCCGCAAATATCATAGCATACGATTAGAACATTGGTATCTGAAATGAAATGAAGTCATTTAGAAAAGTTCTCCCTTTCTAATGAAGAACATTACAATTCTTTTATTTATAATTTATTATAATACACTATATATTATTATTATATATTATATTATTATAACATATTATAATATTACAATACATTATATTATTATAATATATTATATTATTATAACATATTATATTATTATAACATATTATATTATTATTATATTTCATATTATAAAATTCAAAACTAATAGTAATAATATATCAACATACCTTTAAAAATTTGTGGTGTACGATACAAATGACAATTCATTTGTTTGCCTTTATATAGTTCCCTGCCCGGTATATTTGGATAATATGGTTTTCGATTATGTCCAGTACAAACAAAAACATAATCAAAAAATTCAAAATCATAGCTGTTAGCAACAGTGTTCCAAATAAAAGCCTGACATTAATTAAATTTATGTGATTTAAATAGAGAGATGTCGATAAGATAATGACTTACTTCCCATTCTCCATTACGTCTACGTACTCTGATCACCTCATGTAAAATTTTGATATATTTTCTTAAAGCAAAATGCTCAGCATATGAATGCAAATAATTTAAAACTTCCATTGACAAGATAAAGGAATCTTTAAGTTGATCAGAATATTGGTAATCTGGATATTCCATAAGTTCTTTTGGTAAATTTATGCTAGTTATTCAAATTAATATATTAAAAATATTTGTTAATAAAAATATATTCTTTAATATTTACAATGAATCCTCGTATGTGCTGCAATTGATTTCTTCCTCGGATTTATCTGATGGAATTTCTTTTCTGCAGTTCCAATATCCACCAATTTCGTCAGTTTGTTCATATACTACAGGTTCCATGTTATACTCAAGTGCACGTTTCAATGCACATAGACCTGCGGCTCCGGCACCTATAATTAGTACACGTTTTGTGGTGGGTCGCATAAATAATTTTTTGGGATCCATCGTTATTGAATTGATTGTATTGTGTAATGACCGAGAATTATATGTTGCAGTTTTTTCCTCACGACTGAAATTGAACTAAGACAATACATATTTTATATACATTATATTGAAAACAATCAATAACGAATCTTGAATTATCAACTCAATGATTGTTTATAAAATGCAGTAGCGTACTTAAATACTTTTAAAATTACATACTATACTTCAGTTAATAATTTTCTTTCAATGAGCTGTATAATGGATCTAATAATAATTAACTAGTAAAATAGGTATCAACTCAGTTGAAATTCAATATCTAAAACCATTAAGTCTTTATAAGTAGGGGTCAACAACCTCTCTGAGTTTTCTTTGTACTAAGCTACTGATTTGTCTGTTTTATGTTTATTTCTTTCGATGTTATTTTTAAATTCTTATCTTTAACACTAGATTATTACTCGTATCAATGCACCGGTTAATGGATGCACTTTTATGATATTACACGTACTGATAACTTTGCTCATTGTCTGGTTAACGATTAAATGTGGATCTATGCTGTCGTTCAGGGTAATTGTATATAATTTAATTATACTATATAAATATATATTGAGACCTATAAGTACGTTAAACATCAGTATATTCAATTTTGTTGTCAAACTTTTGTTTTGAAAGGCAGCACTCTAATAATTTCTAATAATAACCTTATAAAAATAAACAAATTTAATAATGTATATATTATATGTGAATATATATAATACGCATATTATTCATATAGGCATATGTTCAATAATTTTAATTAATAAATATAATCCTTATCATCTCTTAAAGTGTTAAAGTTAATATTGAAAATATTCTCATTACCTGAGCAGACCTGAATACAGTCGATCCAATAACATCTTTTAAGTTACTATTGAAATCGAGGCGGCTTTTTTTACTAGATGGTATTAAGACAAGGCGAGGTAAATCCCCAAGTAGTATTATAACGGGTCTTTGGCAAATGTGGTACTCAATAGCGTTTATGGTGGGGCACGCTATATAATATAAATGAAGTAAAAAAATGAAATTTATTAAATTTTTTCATTTCAATTCATAAATTTTATTGAAAAATAAAATTCTTCGGCTTTGCTTGATCAAACGTGAGTTAGTCTCCAAAGCACTTTTACTGGTCTGTGACTATTTAGATGATCCACTATAATAATAGATCCGTTAAATTCTGATAATAAGTTATTTAAATGATTTTATAGAAGTAGCTTTTAAAGCCCAGCATATCTTTCTATCTGAATATATATTGCATTTTATTTGAGGGAGTCATATTCTTAATTAGTGTGTGCTTTCACGGAATCGTATAGCGTTAGCGTTCTGTCCTTGATATACTTTTGCACACTCTTGATTCTCAAGTCTCTGTGTATTTCTTAATTTCTCATGTACTATAGAGCTTTTAACATATGTCTCAGGACAATATTCTGATAAATTTGCAGTTTTCTAATGGTGTATTTCCATAAGTAACACAGCCATAAAATAATTTAGGTCTAAAACGTGCGAACAAACTGCACTAAGAATATGGAATAAAAATTAACGAAAATTACTAAAGAACACACGCGTAAAAACATTCGCATTAGAAAAAAAAAACATTTGTCGTAGTCTTAAATTATCATTTATTTTAATAAGAATATATACAAAATATATAGAATTTGTCAAACTTAACATTATAATTTGTTGCATTTGAAGATAGTGAGATTATTATTCTTTACATGTAAGCACTACAGATTTATTAGCCGGTCGAGGAATACATCCATCGTAATAACACTTCTCTATTGCGTTCTGATATTTCAGCAAAAATTCCGGTTCATTACCATTTGGACCAATTTTATAGTCACAGTTGTAATTGTATTTTTTTGCATCATCAACACAACACTGAAGTTGTACTTTCTTATAAGTGAGTAAGTGATTTAACGACTGCAGATGTATATGCAGACGATGTCTTACTATACCGGTAACCCAAACATCATCAATCCAAAATACTGGTGTACTATGAGCTTCTTGTGCTATACGTTTTGCTGTCAATGGATTCGTTACATAAAACCAACCAGACAAGTAATAAGGGTAAACACTTCCTGGAAAATCTTTTAGAGAGACATACCATTTACTTTTTTCATCTCGTACCGGTGGACCAGAGGAGAATATTACACCTGATAATAGTTTACCAGATGTAGCAAGTTGCGACTGTTTTAGCAATAATTCATTTAAGTAATTACGCGTGTAATATATGTCATAGATAATATCATCATCAATTTTAATAACGAATTTAGCATTTTCACACTCACTGCCTGCCCATCGTAGACCCATAACATGCTTATATGTTAAATTGTGATAATTATCCACAAAGTTACCCTGTACCAAGTCACCAAAACGATTATGTTCTCTTTCCAAAGATTCTTGGGTTATAGCGCGTTCTGTTGGTGGTATCTTGGCTAGCAAAAATATTCGTCGAAATCCTAGTTCTTCAAGTTTGCATTGTGGCATAGATTGACGATGAGCCATACGTAGGTCGGTATGTGCTGAGTAAGATGTGACAACAATGATAGCTGTAAAAGATGTCAAATTTTTGAAATTTGAATATTTTGATATACAGGTTATAGTATAAGATAGATATATAAGTATAAGATAGTGTGGGATATAAATATAAATAAGTATATATATGTGAAAAGCATAATATTATATATGTATATAATATATATAGATATATAATATGTATAATATCCAAAATTGATCAAAAATTTAATAGAATTTCATTTTAATTTACTGTTAATAATGACAAAAGGTATATAGGAATTTGATTATGGTTGTAACGCGAGGAAGATGTTGGGGTCTATACATATCTTTAACCAGAATGCAAAGATTAATTGGTTTTGCTATATTTATTTGCTTGTTTTAAAGTTGATTCTTGAAAGTTGATCCTTGCTAAGTAGTTCAGTACTTTTAACTGAATTATATCTATATGTTATGTGTAGACTTTTGGATCCTTAGGGATGCCAGTTAAAAACATTGTTGATAAAGTTGTAGTTCTATTAAGAATTGCTTGACCACAATGTGTGCGAATTCAATTGTTATCAATGGTGAGACCGCATTGTATGTTTTCTTTACCATTATATACACTTCGTTTTGGTTCTCTTTGTGGAAACCAGAAAATTGCGAATTTAAGATTAGCGATCGCTAACTACGGATATTTTAGAAAAAATCTTACATAAGATTATTTTGTGAGATGTAGCAGATCCAGCAGAACAACTTTGTCCCATTAAGGAATTTGGAAAGCATAAATTACTATATCAAAAGCTTAAAAGGCATTTTAACCCACTAAAATCACTACCCAGGAATTAATTGTGAAGTGATTTCGATCAAGTGAAACTCAAAGAGCCCGTAGCTGAAATCCCATTCTGCTAATTACAGGCTGTTAGCAGATGACATTACGATTGTTATTAAGTACGGTAATTTTGTTCTACGACCTAGAGATCTATTTCTGCCCGTTCACGGATGCAGTGTGTTCTTCTTAGTTCAATTTCTTCCATAAATTATAATATTAATATACCTTTCCACTTATATATACTTGTATATTATACACTTTTTTCTTTATCTAATATGAGATGCCCATTTAGGTTTTTCGTTAATGTATATAAATTTAAAAATATATTGAATTGAAGTTTTTATGCAAATTTAATATCAAGTTGTCTAGACCCCATTGAAATGTAAAATCTTCTAGAAAACAAGTGTATACAGTGGTGCGAAAAAATATATATGTACATACTTGATTCTTTACACGTAATTAAAAACTTACCTAGAAATTGTTTTCTATCTTTTCGACATTTATTGGAATTCAATAAATATCGGAAATTTGTTAGATTCATTAAATAGCTATAGTTGACACGTTGTCTGAAGTCTTCATAATCAAAGTCATATTCTGCCAGCTTATATTCCTGGTGATGTGTGTTGTTTGAACGTAAGAGTGATCTTAGATGTTGTGATTCTTTATACAAATTTATATCATTTGTTGTAAAGTGAAAAATGATGATTAGAAATAAACCGCAGACAAATGAGAGGATTAGTAATTTGATCAATAATTGTCTGTGAAATAAGCCCTTCACGCTCATTATACTGAAAATATAAAATATAAAATAAATTATATATTATAATCTGTTATCGGAACTTTATATATTGATATATGAAAAATTACAAAAAATTACAAATTTGATTGATTGATTGATAGAATTAGATACCTGGTGAGTTGTATTAATGTATAGGTAGTCTTTACACGGTCACTCTTGACCCTACAGATTAGTTACTTTTCTTCTTTATGCATATGATATTGAATTTGCAAAATGGACATTGTTTAAAAAACTTTCTTCAGATAAAATGGTATATGTAGGTATAGATCGTTACTATTTTTAATTATAATAATTTATACAAATATATAATAATTTTGTTATTTGTTATGTATTTTTTATTTTTTTTTCTTTTTTTTTTTTTAATTTTAAGAGAAAACCTTTCTTGTAATAGTTCTGGTATTACATGTGGTATTACACATGTAATACCACAAGTTTAAGGTTATGACCTTACATATAAAATAAGTAGACTGATAAACTAGTAACACCTGAGGTAATACACGTAATGCCACAAGTTTTATGTTATGACCCTGGCATATAATATGTTACTAAAGCAACTAAATGTTGACTATTTTAGATAATTCTATTATCAAATAACACCTTTGCAGAATCTGGTATAAAAGATGTTCAAATATTTTAATCTTTCCCTTTACTAATACAATATTTAACATTAACAAAAAAAGCGTGCAGTACAACCAAATAGTTTATAATATGGTGATGGATAAACAAACAAAGATCTTTTTTATTACCAGATGGATCAAATAGCTAACAGTAAATAAAAATAGAGGCTTAAAATAACTCATAGTTTTTTAGTTTACTTTCAATTAGAAAAATAATGGAAATTCAAATATCATAAGCATTGCTTATGGAGCCAATGTTAAACTATATTTATTCAACAGTTCTTCCCACACTTGTTAAACAAAGCTTGATATTAGATCCACTTTTCAGTACAACATACATACATACTTTTGTGTAATATTTTGAAATCATCTTCAAAACAACTGAAAACATTTGTAGGAAAAAATTATTGGTGAACCCATGGGTGAAGTACGTTTCCGGTTTAATTTAGTGAAACATACAGATGTATATTCTCAAATTAAGTAATTTATTCATGCTGATTAAATATATGATCTTTATGATTTTAGAAGCTGATGGCTTCAATGATCTGCAAAGTTGCTTTCAACACGATTCAAATATTCTGAGAAACCTCAGAGTTTACTTAGGTAAAGTATTGAAAATGTGTATAAATGTAGATATTAAGTATTGCATTGTACTATTGTAATAGTTGGAGGTTCTATGCTTCATGAGAAGAAGAGAACTGCAGTAAGTTAGTAAGTAATTGTAAAAAATAATTCGCTAATGTTAAATAAAAGTTGGCAATTATCAATTACATATAACTTTCTAAAATATCAGAGAGATTCAAATTTTCGAGAGATTGAAATTCAGAGTCAGAGTCAGAGACACTCAAATTCGACAGAGTACGAGGTCAACATACATTTAACTTTCTAAAATATCAGAGAGACTCAAATTTTCAAGAGACTGAAATTCAGAGTCAGAGTCAGAGACACTGAAATTCGACAGAGTACGAGATCAACCTTTGGTACTTGCAGTCTCAAAAAATTATTTACGAATAATAAAATATAAGAAATAATTCTAAGACCACTAAAGATGGGTATACGGCAATACTCAAAGCAGCTATGGTATGGTCAGCCAAATATTCAATTAATTAAAAAAATAATAAAAAAATTTTTGTTGTTGTAATTTCACTACTATTCACTACTACTATTGGAAAAAAATAGTTTAAATTAAGAATTTAGTTTTTTTTGTATAATTTTTTATATATATTATAATTTTTACAATTGAACAAAAAAGGTTTTATAATCTATATAAAATTATTTTATTGTATATATTGCAATACATATGATATTGTGTGCCTATTATATTCAATTTTATTTAATCATATATGAAAATTTTTAAAAATAAAATTTATACAGAATAATCATACATACAAGACCCGCCAAAACTTGTAGTAACTACATAACATAGTTCACAAGTTATATTTGTACTCAGTCAATATTTGAACTTCTGGTATGTATGTCAAAATTGTATATAAGTCTATTAACAGCAGAATTAATAGCCGGATTAATGCAATAAAAATGTGTGTTTCTAAGAAATATTTGTTTTAAACAATTTTCGTATTTGTAGAGTCAATATTTGAACTTCTGGAATTGTAGTCCGTAAGTATATTGGAGACGTGTCTATTTATATTAATTTTTTATAAACTATTTTAATATAGATTTTCTATTAAAAATCAATTTAACTTTACTTAACATGTTTTGCTATGGAAATTTAGTAATGATTGGGGTTGTCCTAAGACACATCTGTCTTAAGACACATCTACATCTACAACACCTTCTTTTGGTTGGCATATAAAAGATAAGATAATTTTTGAAAAAAATTTCTATGAAGGTTGGTAGTTAATATTAAAAATAATTTCAAAAGAAACATTTGAAACAAAATCGGTATATAGTCTCCTTCGATGAAGGGAAGAATGTAACACAAACTTGAGAAAAGATGTGGGTTATTTATGCTACAGGCATAAACACAATCTAACGCATTCGTAACGGAGATGCGAGTGAGTTAGTGAGTTACTTTTTAAAGGATCGATTAAAGGATCAGTTATTACAGATATTCTTAAAGAACATCTTATGCTTTATTAAATATCCTAAATGTTTTGAATACTTCATATGTTAAACCTTTGCAAAAACTACATGCCTCAAACGAGAACAAGCTCAAGTTGCTTATATGGAACATATCCATTATGATACATTAATAACAATGTTTTAATGACTATTATAAAATATATAGAACAATTTGGTTTTTAAATTTGAATAAAAAAATATATAAATTATAATATCAGCCTAGTATTATATCACCATATTAATTAAATAAGGATGCTAACTTTCTAGCGGTACAAATAGTCCTAACCATTCAGTCTAATAATCTAGAAATTATTTATTATTTTGTTGTTTAAGGTTTTAATTAACCTCGTCCAAGCCATGTGCTTCAACTCCCAAAAATTATCTTAAGCTATATTTCGATGAGCGGTATTTAGATGTCCTCATCTTCGTCCTTTACAACGATGGCTCTCGTGACCCTGGTCACAGAAACTACCACTAGTCCATCGTTCGCATTCGCGCAATAACCCTACCTCTCCACCTACTCTTCATCTACCTGCACCATGCCCATGTTTTCTGGCTTAGATAAAACAACTCCACTAAGTATTAAGCCTCTTGCTCTTGCATAAAACAAGAGGTATTCTATATACAATATTATGGTCAATTCTGTTTACAACAGTAAGTTTGCTGGTGAAAGAGACACCCGAATAAATAGGTGTAATGCTACAGCTTAGACTTAATTAATACCAAATTTAAACAATTTCCAAACACATTCTTCTATATATCTCCAATATACAAATCAATTAAGTTCTTCTCTTTATTACTTCTTAATCTGTTTGTAAAATATCTTTAAAACATTTTTTAACTTACTCTTCTATATATGTATTTTAATAAGTATTAAAAGTATAAATAATGCCCTAAAAATGTGTACTAACTTATCAATACAAAATATGAGGAACACAACAGCTTACAATAAGTTCATCGCACGTGTCAGACGTGCCCCATTACAATATCGTTTACTTCTCTTATTAGATAAAAAGTTGTAATTGCTGTGCCCTTTTTATCGATTATTTATGACTGAACATGTAATGGGCATTAATAATAACGGTTAGAGATATGAAAATGAGATACTTAACTTGTCTTATATTATGTTTTGTATGTTTATATTATGTATTTTATTCCGTTAAGTAAAATATCTTCAAATGAAAGCACATACTTCAAATGTTGTTCTAGAAAGTGGTTATTCCCTAAGAGCGTTTATATATAGCAACCTTCAATATAGAAATCAGGCTAATACTTGTGTTTATTGGGTGTCCAATGAATATATGTTCAATTCAATTCAATGTATATATAAATATATGAGTGCCCAATTCCTAAGCCAATCTTACGTTTATCAAACCTCTTCTCAAAGGAAGGAAGAAAGGTTACAATGCAAATATATGGATGCCCTACTATTTAATCATTCTATAACTTTTCTAATTTAGATAACAACTTAGAGCTTACGTTCATCTATTCTCTTCTCGAAGGAAGGAAGGAAGAAAGGTTACTATGCATGTATATGGGTGCCCAATTCTTAAATCACTCTATAAATTTTCCAATTTAGATATTAATTAAGAGCTTACGTTCATCAATCCTCTTCTCGAAGGAATGAAGAAAGGTTACAATGCATATATCCTTAAATCCAATCCTTAAATCACTCTAAAACTTTGCTAATTTAAATATCAATTAAGAGTTTACGTTCATCAATCCTCTTCTCGAATGAAGAAAGAAAGGTTACAATGCATTTAGTAACTAAAATGATTTTTTTTCTAATTGAGTAACATCCACTTTATTTCACTTTCCTATCTACTCTATTTTTATTCCATTTAGTTCTTTATTATTATCTAGTTCTAAAAAAAAAAGTTTTAAAAGGTTAAGATTTAAAAATTTGAAAGGTTTGATTTAATTTATAAATACATAATTCCATAATAAACAATAAGCAATAGTATTCGATTATTATCAGTTTAACTAATGAAGAGATATGAAATGAGCTATAAAGTAATAATAAAATTAATTAATTAAAATTAATTAAAAAGCCTTTTAGTAAAGTTTCGATTTTTTAAGTAGTTATGCACTCTAAGAATACACTGCGAACATGATTTACAGGTATTGTGAAGAAGCAGACCCGATCTAGCTATATGTCGTGACATAATCCGGCATCCTGTGAGAGCCGACACTATTTTGAATAACTTTAGCTATATACTTTGAGAATGCACTGGTAATAACAACGTTTATTTTTACTAAATTATTTTTACTACTACTTTTACTTTTACTACTTGAAGAACCGATATTTAAACAATAGTTATTAGAAAGTATATAAAAAAGGAGTTGAAATATAAAATTATATCGAATAGATGAATTTTTTCGTACTTACTTTTTCATATTTAATTAATTGTTTTAATTTTTATTAATTATTTTATTTTAATTATCTTAAAATCTTAACTTTATTCTTTAATAGCTTATCACTTATTTTGGTATCAAAAATGATCTTTGTATGTTTTAGGACAATACTGTATATTGTGTTAGAAATACAATTATTTTATTAATATATTTATTTTAGCAGATAATATTTATTGAATAGCCTAATTTGGGAACACCGAAGAACTGAATCACTTCACGTCTTATATAAAACTGTCTGCAGTATTATTCAAAAATGTTTATTATGTTAAGTAGATATATTTCTTATGCAAATGCAGGTGTTTTGCTATAACGACTATACTATATAGCGGTGTGTAAAGAAATACTACTAAGATGTAGAGAACATTGTATTTTAAACGTAGTACCTTCTATTAAATTTTGGCACACATAGATAAGTTCTTTCATTTTACATATATAAACATTTATATAGAGATATCATAGCAATTTGTAGAAAAATATAGTTCTGAGGAGTAATAAAGATTAATGTTGTTTGATATAAAAAATAAGATATAATTTAGCCACAATTGCGGAAGAAATTCTAAAATATTGTAGTTAAATATATAAGAAAATAAATAAATAATTTTCTCAACTTGTAATTATTTAGATATTATTTTTTAATTATTTAAAAATCATTTAAAAGAATTTATAATTTATGACAAAAGAAGTTTAATCTTTATTTGAAGTACATAAAGCCATTTGAAGGTACTGATACAATACCGGTAGTAGTTAAATTAACAACAGAAATACTCAAGATTAGCGCTTATCAATGAACCTAGAAATAATTAACCATATCTATTCTAACAGTACACGCATCGCACATCGTCAATAAACCTCTATATCACACAATAGAAACATAGAAACAGCTTCTATGAATGAAATTCTATTTGATATCCATAAGACTGACACACACGCAGTCTCATAGTCGTTATTCTCACGATGTGTTGAGAACAAAGAAATTAATAAACATTAATTTGAAGTTCCTATAGAATGTATAGAAACTTATGTATTAGATATATAGATTAATAATGTTTTTAATATAGGAACTATATAGTATACAGCTATATAGGAACTTATATATTAGATATATAAAGATTTACAATAATATTTTTTTATATATTTTATATCCGGTTACAGGTCACCCTTTTATTAAAATTAAAATCAAACGTTTGTTTAATATATTCTATATTTCGACTCGCCTTGAGAGTCATCATCAGGATCAGAATCTAAAATTAATAAACATAAATTGATATTAATAAAATCTATATCGAAACCTCATATTCTTGATTCTGTTGTCTATATTGCATAAATTCAAAATTTAATATAGATTTAATTGGAACTAATAAAAATACATTTTCAAGAATGAACATATGTAATATAAAATTTTGAAGACATTTATTTAATTATCTAAATCAATCTAATCAATATTAGAAATTATTTTTCTTAAACTAAATAAACTATAACCTAACCTAAATCCAGAAAGACCGAATGCCATTCGGCATTTGTAGGTATATATTGAATATACAAGCATAGCAGTTAATAATAGCAATAAATATTAATTTAAACAATTAGATATAGGCAAACAAATGTCCACAGATGACTTTAAATCCCTCAAACGTAATTTAACTACTCGCATAAATGTTTTAAATAATAGGAGTGTTATACTAATACTTATTAAATATATATGGAGTAGTGCTCACTTTTCTATCTAACTCACGTGGTTTGAACTCTCAAGCATTCCAAATATTTTCTAGGTAGAAAAAGTCATAACTTATCTGAGGATGCAAAGAAATTCTAACAATAAAATATTTACCATATCGAAGAGTTACACCAAGCTGAAGTCTTTATGGCAAGCTTAATCTATTTCAGAAATAGAATGCAAAACAGTCACACTTCTGAAATGGTGGGTCTGATACAGTTCATAGTTTAAGATTTCTTCTTTAGGTTTCCGGTGTTTAGGAAATTTTTAGTTAATACGAAATAAGTAAGATAGTCTAACTGGATATCAAAGCAAAATATTGAAAATAGCTGACAAACGTTAGTGATGTTACAAATCATTCAATTGCCAATACTGTTAACTGAGATATATATTAAGAAGAAAGTAAATAGTTATCGTATTTTTTATTTTTATCATATTTATTTTTATAACTAAAAATTATTATTTAAAAACCTAAGCATTAGGAGTAATCGCAGCAGGTCGCTGCTTACACTTGCCTTCAGAACATATTTTCATATAATTTTGATATATATACAAGAAATTAGGTTCCTTATTATTGGGACCCACTTTATAATCACAGAAATATTGAAACTCCTTCACGTCTTCAATGCACCTTTTTAATTGTGAATTCTTATAAGTAAACCAACTGTATATAGTTTGTAGAGGTATCTGAAGACGTTCGCGCACAATACCAGTCATCCAAATATCATCAATCCAAAAGAATGGAGTCTGTATGGCTTCTTTTGCTAATCGAGCTGCAGTCAATGGATTCGTTATATAAAACCAACCAGCAACATAGAGTGGATAAGAATCTTTTGCATATTCATCATGTGTAACGTACCACTTAAATTTGGTATTTCGAGATGCTTTATTAGTAAGTACTTGACCAATTAACAATTCATCAGATATCGCAAGTTTCAAACTTATCCGAAAAAAGTTTTTTAGATAGTTTATTATATAGTATATATCATAAACAACATCATCATCCATATTAATGATAAATTTAGCATTTTTGCATTCAGAAGATGTCCAATCTAGACCCATCCACATTTTATAGCTTAAATTCTGATAGGTATCTTGAAAACTGCCCTGTACTAAATCACCGTAAGTATCGTGTTCAAGTTGTAGGGTTGTCTGATTAATGTTACTCATCATAGGTGCAACTTCACCGAGTAAAAATATACGTTGTAAGCCTAAATTTGCTAGTTCTTTTTGTGATTTAGATTGACGATGAGACATACGTTTCATCGTGTTATTTGCAGCTGATTTTATCATAATTATAGCTGAAAAATGAAATAGGTATTATATTTTCTAACTGTTACCCAGAAAAGACTTACCTAGAAACTCTTTTTTGTATTTTTGACAGTGGTTTGATTGTAGTAGGTACTGCAAACTCGTAAGATTGACTGGTTTAGGTGTATAGTTGGTAATATTGGCAGATATTCTCTTTGAATCAATTAGGTATAATGACTTCATTTTATACTGATTTGAAATTTGATTGATTACTGTAGTTAATAAGTAAACTATACAGTAAAGAATAACTCCATTACAAATAGTTATTAACAATAATTTAATTGATAAATATTTGTAAGTCTGCATGATCTGTAATGAGAAATATTATTGTATTAGTTTTTATAATTAAATCAGATTTATATTGAACTTCTCCATATATAAATACAAGAGAACAACATTATAAATTGAATTCAAGGTGGAAGAGAGATATAGCTTATAATCCTTGCGCAAGTTAATGGGATAATAAGTCCACAGATATAAATTTTTTGATATAGTAATATTCTAAAGATAAGTTTCACAAAAATATTACATTCAAGATAGAGCTAAACGAACTTTGTAAATAGACAACTTATTTCAAACTGAGTATAAGTAACACTGAAACTAATTCTAGTTAGAAATTTTAATTTATTTAGTTTGTATGAAAACATATTCTTTTCATTTTCAATGTAGTTTTATTGTATATTGAGCTAAATGCAATTTTTCTACTTTGAAATTTTTATTCACAGAGTAGTTTTTTTTTAGCTCGAACCGAACAAAAATCAATCTGTATAATCATGTTATTCAAATTGTGAAAAATAGACTTCTCCAGTTATAAATTTTCTGAAGGATTTAAGGGATTTAAAAAAGCGAATAGAAAAAGTTCAACACCTTGTACGTTTTATAGTAATTGTCTCTATAATACTTTTTTCTCAATCGCTCTATCACTCTTTTTTTTCTCAATTTCTTTCTCTCTATTTTAACCTCTCTCTCCTCATATATTCATATGTGCACATGTACTTTCTTTTTATGCATTTCCTTTCTTTTCTTTTCTCACTAGAAGATAGGTTTTCAAGATATCTATCGGAATTGAAGCTATAAAACGTGGATGGGTTTACATTGGACAATTTCTGAATTCAAAAGTGCTAAATTTATTATCAATATGGATAATGACATTATATATTACATATACTATATATTTAACTATTTTAAAAATTGTTGAAGAATAGTTCAGTATTTCCCACATCTGATGAGTTGATACTCGCTCACTCTTTCTGAAATCCTGAACATAAATGGTACATTTTACGTAATGAATATGTAAAAGATTTTGATCGACTCTGGAAAATTCTAGTTCTGCTTCAGATATAGCGCGTCGGTGAGACATTCGTGTTTCTATATTTTTAACAGCTGAAGTTATTATTATTATAGCTGGAAAGCGTAAGAGCTATTAAGTTCTATAAATTATATAAAAGACTTACCCAGAAACTCTTGCTCGTATATTTCGCAGTAGTTAAACTTCTGAATGTGTATGAACGCCTTGGTCAGAAGTATAGTTCATAATACCGGCAGATATAGTTTTTAAACCGATTAAATTCATTGATTTTATTTGGTAATCGGTTATCTTTGTTATTTGATATACTGTATAGAATAAACTAACTATATTGCATATAGTTATTAATATTAATATGGTACTCAGATGTGTGTATGTGTGCATGATCTAAAGGAATTATATATTTTAACTAACTATATTGCATATAGTTATTAATATTAATATGGTACTCAGATGTGTGTATGTGTGCATGATCTAAAGGAAAAATATATTTTATAATTTAATTAAATATTAATTTTTATTTAAATAACTGTCTATATATATATTTTTTAAAATTTTTAAACATAATGTTAAACATCATATCTGAACTGGGAGAAAGTATGCTTTACAGATGCTTGGAAAAACTATAAAATTTACGATATGTACCTAATCAAAAGATATATATGAATTTCATAGAATTCTTTCATAAAGCGGTATTTTTAAACGTACTAAACAAAAATTTTAAAAATTATTCACTTCTGACAACTTATCTCAAGCTGTATATTTGCAAAACTGACATAATGATCGATAAGAACATATTAGATATATTTGCTCTGCTAATATAAAAGTTGACTTTCTTCTAATTTGTGTGTTTTGTGCTATTTGAACAAATGTGCAATATTGAGAAAACCGTAAAAAGAATGCAAATAGATAGATCCATAAATAATTTTCAGATACTTTATCAGCAACGTGTATACATTAAAAATATCTAAACTAGTCCAACTTAACAGGAATATAGTTTAGTATGTATTTGCAAAGTGTATAAAATATTATGTGTGATTAAATATATAAAATATCATATGAATTCATCATATCATACAACAGATGTTCTCCACAATCTCGTTATGACTTCTATCCGTCGCGCAACGTCTTCATTTGATTAGACATTTGATTTTTAATGTAGAAACGCAAGAACGAAAATCATTGCTTTTGCCCTGAGCTAGAAAGGTAATATTCTGATGACTACAACTTGTGAGAAGAACTGTGATGTTATTTAGAGTTAATTTCAAACTGTTTAACAAATGATCCAAATCGAATTTTATTAAGAGAAATCCAAATTTTATGCCCAATGTACGATTAAACAATACTAGTTGACTACACTCGTTGTATTTCTACGGTATTGAATACAGGAGCCAGTGATTGTACCTTAATGGGGCGAAATACTATAGCGACGCATTCACCCAACGTCATTTTTGAGGTTTCTACTCACTGTAATCAGTGCCGGCTACTGTAGTTTAATCTTACGTTGACAGTTACTCAACAAGATAGAATCAGCATTATTTATATTAAATAAATAATCTCAATTTCAATATATTAGAACCCTTAGACAATTTTATTAAGAGTATTTTAAACATAAGTAACAAAAGTAGCACTATAAAAAAGCATTAACTTGTTCTATTATAGCACTTTTTTTAATTTTCTTATATGATAAAAAACTTCGTTAGAGATGAATGAATTGGATTCTAAGCATAAGTAGTTAAACTAATAAAAGTATCAATTTAGGGATATATTATCCCTACAGTTTGCTACAAAACATCAATATTTCTTTAAAAAATTCATTAGTAAACTCGACTTTAGTGTTGTTGTTGTAAATCGCGAAGATCTGTCAAGCAGATTACATGAAAGGAATAACAAATACGTGGACAGATGGACTATGATGCGGGAGATGTTGGTAGTATGAGAATGAAGAGATTGATTACGAACAAGATTGGATTGGGGATAGGACGGATTTTAATTGAAGTCAAACTTCAAATAAGTTCGGAGAAACCCAGGTGGAGAGACCAAGTCTTTTCAATGGAGCGGGTGCAAAAGAATCTCGGCTTTTCCATATTCAGGATAGTTGGAGGCTGTAAGTATAAACTTCATCCCAATTAATTTAGCGTCTTCACTTTCATAAGATTTGTTTGTTCAAAAGCGAAGTCTAGCAAATGTATATACCAGCTTCTTTTATTTTGCATTTGCCTAAAACTATGCAATAACATTTCTGAAGTACTCGCGAAACTGTGTAATTACCTGCAACACAACAAAAAATACATCTTTTACACTACACATACATTTTTTATTTAGAGTTCTTATTAAAATCTTTAATTTTGATTTAAATGAAAAATAAAGCAAAATATATTAGAAAAATAAGAATGTAAAATATAATCTGTTATAATAAACCAATTCGAAAATAAAAAAGGATATTACACTTATATAAATGCACATTGTTTGAAGTCATAGCAGAGTTACCTCCAACTTATAATCTTTAATAGCTTCACAGTTTCTGCGTGATTTCTGGCACAGCTTTGAATAAATCAGCAACTAAGCCTACATCAGCTACTTGAAATATGGGTGCTTCTGGATCTTTATTAATAGCAACAATAGTCTTTGAATCCTTCATACCAGCTAAATGTTGAATGGCACCTGATATACCAACGGCTACATATAATTCAGGTGCAACAATTTTGCCAGTCTGTCCAATTTGTAAATCATTCGGTACATAGCCAGCATCTACGGCTGCACGTGAAGCACCGACGGCCGCGCCAAATTTATCAGCTAAATCGTAAAGCAATTTAAAGTTTTCACCATTCTTTAAGCCACGTCCACCCGATATGATTACTTTGGCAGCTGTTAATTCTGGGCGATCTGATTTAGTTAGCTCTTGTGAAACAAATTCACTTAGTCTGCTAGCATAATCACCAGATGGTGCTTGTTCAACGGCACCACTTCCACCGGTAGCAGCAGCAGGCGGAAAATTGGTACCACGCACAGTTATAACTTTAACTGGATCCTTTGCACGTAAAGTTAAAATGGCATTGCCCGCGTAAATAGTGCGTACAAATGTGTCTTCTGACTTAACATCAATTATTTCCGATATAGGTGAAACATCCAATTTTGCAGCTACTCGTGGCAAAACATTTTTACCAAATGCTGTAGCACCAGCTAAAATATGTGTGAATTTGAATTGTGTTTGTGCTGCCAGCACAAGTGACGTTATTGACTCCGCAGTAAAACCTTTGAATGCAGCATTTTCAGCAACTAACACTTTAGCTACACCATCGACTTTTGACACAGCTTCAGAAGCCTAATTAAAAAAAAATCACTTATCATCATTAATATTAATAATATTGATTATATAATTATTTATACATACTGGACCACATTTAGTGCCTGCAACAAGTACTGTGACGTCACCACCGATCTTTTTCGCTGCTGAGATTGTATTTAATGTAATTGGATTGAGTACTTCATTATTATGTTCTGCGACAACTAAGGTACTCTTGCAGCGTTGCAACTGTTATATAAATAAACATAAAATAAATTAATATATTTGGCATTTCAAGTGCACGAGATAATAAAACTCACAATATTGCTGCGTATTAAATTTTTCGCACTAGAACTGAACATTTTATTAGCAGAAATTTTTAATTCCAACCACCTTCAAAAGACTGCAAAAATATATAAAATCGTTATTTTATTAATTTAATTAATTAAATAATAATTGATAAATTACTTGACTTACCCAACAGTCTGTGATCGACACGAAAGTCCAAAAGTCACTTTAAAAATCTGACAGCTGCTCGAATGTTGAATTCGTTTTTCGTGGTGAGTTTCTGATCATACAGGCATACTATCCATATACATTACATATTATTAGTAATAATAATTAATAATAATAATTAGTAATAATTTATTACTAAACACTGATATACGATAGAATAAAAATATAATACTTTCTTTTTATATAAAAAGCATCTAAAGTTATAGTGTGAGATTTGAACTCAAGAACACTACTACTTAGAAAAACAAAACGGACAATCTCAGTCGTTCAACCGTAAGGTCCAATACTTAAACCTTAAATCAGTAATCAAGCGAATGCTATAGATTACAAAACCAGAAGATTTTGTGTGCAAACCATATATATATATCTGATGGGTGAGTGAATAAAAGATGATTAAAAGTAAACTCTGTGTAAGAGGTTATTGCAACCACGATTGTAAAACAAAAAATAAGTGGGAAATGAAGCCCAAATATAGAGTTAGGAGTTGATGGAACTTGTGCTAATATTCGTCAAACGGATCTAATAATATAATTCCACACTATTGATAAATTTTACGAATAATATTTAAGTGTCCATTCTACACTGAAGACACATTTATTTCATTTGCATAGTATACAATAGTGGACACTTAAAGGTTATTTAACTTAAATTTGCATTGTAAAAATGTAATACTTTTAAAACCGCTACATGAGTCTAAAAATCATTTTTAAGAGCATTTATAAAAAATAAAAAACATTAAAAAAACTTATTTACGGTTGTTAACAGCTAACACCATTCTACTAGTACAATAAGTATGTATTAGAATAATCTAATTTAAAAATACTTTTAAAAATTATTATTAATTTCTTTCATTGTTTGAAAACATCAACAATTTTACTCATGCCGTGCCCGAGACACTCTACATAACATGGCCCATATATAACAAAATTTAATATTATTTTATATCTAATTTTTGTTATCAAAAGATTTTTCTGTATAGAAATACATATTTTCAATTGATTGGAATTTTATTCTGCAACACAAAAAGTGAACGTTTGATAAAACTATTACAAAATAAGACAGTGATATATATTTTTCTATTCCCAGAAGCAACCTTCTTATTTCTGTTCCACTTGGTTTTCACCATTTCTGCTTATTGTCAACACTTGACAGCTGTCGCTGTCGAAGTATCAATACAGGTGCTCGTGTTTTCAACGTCTGCAAGCAGTAGTGTTATTAATTTGTTAATGTTTATAGTTTCGCTTTTATATTTATTTCAGTTTAGTTTTGTAGTACTAGTTTAGTTTTGTAGTTCTAGTTTAATTATATTTAATTTGTTTGTAAATACATTCGTCAATATGCCACGAAGGCGTATTCCTGAAAGGTAATTTGTGCTCTATTGTGTTCATATTTTTATACTGTTATTTATAAATATTTAATTTTTAGATGGACCTGCTATAAACCCATCGGTAAACCTATTGAGGGCACTAGATTTTTTGCATTTAAAGTGCCTTTAGCAGAGGTAAGTTTACAACAAGAGATGTTTACAACTTGGAACAACTGTTCTTCTGGTAGTTTTAATGTTAAAATTTTCTAATTTCTGGACGATTCTGTTTTATAAATCTTTTTTTTTCGTGTAGTACTCCGCGATATTTGCTGTTTACTATTCAATTTTGATACAACGCTATTATTATGGCAGAAAGCTTGGTAATGATTTTAAGTGGAAACAGCTTAAGTTGAGTTTGATACCAAACGTAGATGACAACCATTTTCAGTAATTGAATGTTGTTTGCATGCAAGAATTAACAGCAATTTGGACAAGTCTTGTAATCCATTCACTTTCATCGTGTTATTTCTTTCATGTAATCTGCATTACAGATCCCTGTGGGTTACAGCAATAACAAGAATATATGGGTTAGAATAAAGTGTACAGATGTTTTGGGAGTCTTATGTTGGTTGAGGAGAAAGGATGTGGCTTAGGATAGGGTTGGTGGTTATTAAAACTAGACACTTCCAAGTAAAGTATTTACTAAACAATTGCACTAAAATTGATGTACGTTTGCAACACACTTAAAAAAATATATGGTATGATGCGTAGCAGAGATGCAGTAAGGGTACATTTTAGAAATTGATGTAGTTAGCGTGAAAAATAACTGTAGCTAGAGCTAGCTAGAGCATAACAGTTATAGTTGGAGAAGAATTTACTGCAGCAGTTATAAGCCTTATACAATTTTTTGGTATTCTATTCGATGACAGATATACTTCTGCTATTAAGATAGTTGTCGATGTGTTCAAATTTGCGAAGCCAGAACAGAAAGAAGATCTCTACTCAATTGTTGTAACATTTGCATATCCACTTCCTCAGCGCATAACTAAGCACTGGTCAACTAATTATGTTTTTCCCACTATATATATCTTAGTTTTTGTATGAAAGTACTATCAGTGAATATTTGATCTACTAAATGTTGACTACTTAAATTTCAACATTTCTTCTGGACTACCAAAGATCACATTATATTGCTGTCTTGGTTTATATATGCTTATAAAGATTGATTTGTATTTGCTTAAGAGGCCTCAACACTGCCATCGTATTCAGTATGTTTTTGTGCCCATTGAGATCTATTAAGCAGATAACATGAAAAGAATTACAAGGACGTATGTTTAGGTTAGGATGTCGATAGGAGATGGTAGTGTTGGAGGGAATAGGTTTGTTTATGAGTAAGAATGGATTAGGTATCAGTACGTTGTTGTCACTCTAGTCCTACCGCTTCAACTAGTTGTCTTAATTTATGGAAATATTATTACCAAAAGCTGCAGACTTAGTGTGTAGTTTAGATTATAAATTTAGTGTATGTTTGACTTATTAGAGATGCAATAATCTGTCGATTGGATTTTATATTGGGCTTTGTAAACAATTAAAAAATTGCGGTTACTTATTGATAAATTGAAACCACTGTCAACTTTTCATTTATAATGTCTAACAATAACAAAGTCTCCGATAGTAAATTAAATAAAAATTGAATTTAGTTGTTTTGTCTTTACAACTACGATTGTGAATAGAGCAGAGTTGAGGATGCTGGCAATTAATCTAACTATATCACCATGACCTGCGTTACCATCTCCATGAGCTGAGACTGTCTAAGAAAACAATGTCGTCTATGCATGGAAGACTTATTCTCATTCTTTGTGACTATCTGACTTTGATTTGAGTCAGAAGAAGAATGTTGAAAAGGAAGTTCTTATTCACGTCTTTTGATAGAAAATCCTTAACAAAAGAGATTCCGACCACCATTCAGAGCGATGATAAACATATCAGAATAGTGTCGCGAAGCATTTTATCGTTGAGTGCCTAGACATTTGTGGGGTTCATATTTTATTATATTAATATGTTTAATGTAAATATATGTTGATTTTAAATATCAAGATTTGTGCTATAAATATCAATATAGTCAAATTTTTCGATAGAATTATTATAGAAAAATTAGTATAAATTAATCTAGGATCCGAAGCAACTTAAAATAGCACAACTTTTTAAACTTGTCTTCTTCCGTTTTTATTGTCAATCAGTGACACTTTAGTAAAAATTTATATGAGGGCAGTCAGTATCCTTCAAGGAATAACCGGTTATTTGCTATTTTAGTAAAAATCGTGCGATCTCACAACAATTGATTGATGTTAAACGGAGCGATGCATCATGGCAAGCATCACAACCACCACTACCTCAAAACGAAAACATAAAATTGACCACCAAGATGGAACTTTGTGTTAATTTTTGCTTAGTTTTTTCTCCAATACTTTTTTTGTTATCTTTTATTGGTTCATAATTATGCATGAAAGTGGCAACTGACATGTACTTTTGCTTGTACGCTTCACGAAATGAACGAGTACACGAATATCGACCGTCTTGCATCACTAGGTCAAGCACAAAAGGACCACACGTATACTCTCCGGTACATGAGAGTAGGCGCCGTAGCGCGATATTTAATATTAATATGAATTTAAAATTAAATTGTTTTACTTAATTAAATAATGTTGGACTGGACAGTGCCTATGTGTTGTGGGGATTGTAAATATTCAGTTTGCCTTCTTATAATTTTTGATTTTGTTTACATTTTTCGTTTTGGCTTCATGGGAGGTTTAACAATATTTTATTTGTTTTTATGTAAAAATATTTTAAAATCCAAACTAATTATAGCTTATGGGCAGGGCAAGACATAAACGTACCTTACTTACTTTGTATGCATTTTATTAATAAAGTAATTTAAAGGAGAACTGGCAGATATGTCATCTAAATAGCTTGGAATACGGATATAATTGTTTTATTTTTTTTTATGAAGTAAAGAATATTTGTTTAGTTTGAATATACGCGGCAGTTTGATAATTTAGTGATTTTGAAAATGAAAGTAATTTTTTTGGGCAAAAAAAGTTTTATCTCTTCTTATAATCCCCTTTTAACTCAATATATTCCGAGAGTATTTATCCGTTCCAAATAACAGGCTACTTCGAGGTGCTCACATAAGACTTTATTTCAGTGATACCATCTTCATTTCACCTAAATTTCTTACTCTCGAGCTATTTTGTACTGTTCGCAAATAGGAAATTGTCATATGGGACTAAATCTAGAAAATATTCTGGATGGAGTTCAATTTATGACTTTTTGTTATTGCGTCTGTACATGTGTGATCCTTGATGGAAAAGTATTTTGTTCATATATTGTAAAGTATTTAATTTATTGTTTATTGTTTGTTATTTAAAACTAAATTTGTAAATAGATTCCTGTATAAATGATCGGCTGATATATTTTCAAGAGCAAGAGTAATAATACTCCGTCCTGAAGAAGAAGTCAAACAAAATATGAAACATTGACGATATTATATTTATATACGCTATTAAAATAATATAAAAAATAAAATTTTTGTTGTTGTAGTTTACTACTGTTCGAAAAACCTCTATACGCCTCTATTAATATATAGTATAATAATAAAAACAAAAATAAAAATATTTTTTTATTATTTTATTCACAGTTATCTTTTTATTTATCAATTAAAAATAATTAAAAAGTGAACTCACAACTGCTTTTAAAATTATTTTTTTTCGTCAAATACATTTGTTTTAATTTTAAATCGATGTGGAATCTGGTGAACAGCTCTAAATAATATTCACCGGTGTTAGTTTTAGTTCTTTTAAGGTCATCAATATAAAAGATCCGAATGCATCTCAAAAATTGTGGTCATGACATTGTTTGCTACAAAATCCATCTCAAGAAATTCAAGAACTTTTATGGATTACGAATTATATTGCTTTGAAATGCTCCAACGGTTTCGGTTTTGATCAAGCAATGACGTTTCTTTGAGATGCCCACAGCAAACATGTAGATCCTCACTCCCCGATCCTCTACCACTATATTGTGTGGTTTTCAGGGACGATTTGTAGCGTGACAGCATATTTAGGTGAACTGAATATTCGGCGACGCTTGAGTTGATACCACCATAACGGGAGTTAATAAGACAGTCCTTAACCATTGAAATTGATGGTTTGTGATATTAAAAGTGTTATGATTAAGGATTTTCTTGAAAATAAATTTTTTTCTTTGGTGAAGTGTATTTCGGTTAATTTTGAGACAACTTAATCGGGTTTCATACATTTTCTTTTCGTATAATAAACAATGTTTCGAACAATAATACTTTTTATCGAAATACACTTAATACATATATATTAATAAAATATTATACTATAATTCTATTGTATGTCCTTATTTTCAACCTACGAGTATTTGTAATCTTATTTAGGACGTGTGCGATTTAGGCTAGTTTAGTTGATGCTAAACCAAATGGGAGATTTTATGGGATTTTTTACACTGCACATATCAACATATTTTTACTCCATTTATCAACACATATCGACACATCACTACATTATCGGCACAACTTAGAATTTCCCTCATTTAGAACGCAACTTATCCCAACTCGCACACGTCCTTAATTTATGTTTTGTTGTTATTTCCTATTAATTACTTGCTATAAAAGTAGTAATATTTTTTTTTTTATCTTTTAGGCGCAGAACAGAAATGTAGAGGATGTAGAGAAGCGCTTAGACTGCCAGATGATTTTGAATAGTGTTCCTAATATAGGTCTGGTTATAGACCTGACCAATACACTGCGTTATTATAAGCCTGAAGTAAAATATTTTGAAACATAAAAATATATTAATAACTAATAATTTTTTTTATTTAAAGGAATTTTTAAGTAAAGGTGTTGAGCACCACAAAATTTTCACCGAAGGGCATGTTGTACCATCGCAGAAAGTTATTAACGAGTAAGGATTTTGTTTCATTTCATTAAATTCAAGTCTTATTTATATTGCTTTTTAGATTTCACGAAGTGGTTAAAACTTTTTTAAACAAAAATTCTGATAATGGTAAGTCATTTATCAAGAATATGTAATATTATTACACTGTAGATACACGAAATACTAACGGATAATATGTTCGCCAGTGTTAGAAATTCTATTTGTTATAGATGTATATATAGGATCTACCTTAAAAAACTTTATTTTGTATTGTTCATGTTGTCCCACGACCAAGAAAATGGTTGATGTTGATCCTTTTTTCGAGTCAGCGCAACTGGAGACTTTTATCTTTGATAGCTGCGGGTACTACAGGGTCCCACCCATATTATTGACTAATTTATGTATTATGTATTGCTTCACGATTATTCAGTGATTGATCTAAGATCAGCGTACCTCCCCGTGCGGAGAGTGATTACTCTAAGATTAGATAGTGGTAAGTATAGCCTGTCAATTCTCGCATATAACTTCAGGGCTCTGTCCCTTATGTATTTTTTGATCGGGTCTATTCTTAGGTCTCTTAGCATGTCGTTTGTGTAGTATCAAGACACAAACAATTAGGATTGGTTAGTAAAAGATAAACGATTTAAGAAGGTAGACCTACCGTTCCTGGAACGAAAATCTGTTTTAAGTATTTTTTTATTTTATATAACGTATTTATTAATATAACCTTCGGAATATAGATCTACGCTCTACGATTTGAGATCTATATAACTTGTTTAGTATATTATTCTTTAATTTTTAAGAGATTTAGTACATAGAATATGAAAAGAATACAATTAAAAACAAAAAAATTTTAGTAAATCGGATATACTAGAACTAGAGTTTACGAGTTTTACTTCATCGAAAAATCTAAACAAATATGAACTTATTGACATTTAGTTTTAAGTGAAAGAGTGATTCTAAGATATTGTCATTCACTAAGATGAATGGTTAAATTATATCTTATTGCTAAAAATAATTGAAAGGAATGGAAGTAATTATTTAAAATGGGCACGATTAATATTCAATTTATCGATTAAATGTTATTCTGATCTAATCAGACTTAAATATATATCTGATTAACAAATGAACGTAACAAAGGAAGTAAACTTCATTTTTTAATATGATATTAATAGAATGAATGATAAAGAATGAATGATAGAATATGACATGGAGAGAAAAGATATATACCCAAAATATATAACTATATAAATTAAGCAAGTCTTAAGCAAGTTAAGATATCTTACCTTTTTATTGGAACGATGAAATTTGTATTTGCAATTTAAATATAAGGTAATGAGGAATATAGTGACGATGGAAAAAAAACCAAAACATATATAAACTATTAGTAGTAGTATTTTAGCTTTATTTTACTTCTTTTTATATATGTGGTATTATATAGAAATTTATAACAATTATATATATAAAGCTTACACCTATTTCGCCGTCTGCCGAAAATACCTATTCTTTCAACTTTGTAACTTTTTTAATATAAGAAGCGCTCAGTGTTTTTGAACAGCCGGTATCGAATGGCCAGTTCTACATTTTGGAAACATTAGCCTACGATTCTCTAGTGGTGTGCATCACTCTTGTTGTCATTTCACAGCTCACAGACAAAGCGATCTAATTAGGTTTCATTATTGACTGCAAAATTTTATGGATTGCAATAGCATTAGTGTATGTGGTAAGATATTCATTGACTTAGATATGTTGCAAAATATAAATAATCTAATCAATTATATCTTCATTTTTCGTCTTGAAATAAAATTCTTTCAAAGTCCGAAAATTGTGAATTTGCATAGTCACAATTTATGGATTTTACTTTCTAAATAAATAAAGCGGTTATACTACACTTCTTTAAATTAAAACATAAATTCGAATTAAATTAGGAGAACCGATCCAAAAAACCAACTCGAAGTGAAGTTTATTGGCTCAGCGTGCATTAGACCTGTTAACATAATTTTTGATTAGCGAACTTGTACTTGCGGAGCGGTTGGTATGTATGTGTATGCATGACTGTAAGTAAATTCGGTTTGCTCAATGTGGAGTATCCAAAATCAAGTTAGTATACCGACACATGAAATCTAACTGCATTGCACTGAGGTGAGCAGTTTTTTATCTTGTTAAACATCTAATGTTATTGATACAAGATCCGATAAGATATTTCAATTTGTTATTTTTGCTGTTTACATTGCAGATTTTTTTTTCGACACAGAACAAAAAAACTACAAATAATAATTTATTTAATTTAAATATTTGAAGGATTTTAAATGGTTCATAAACTGAGAGAAATTTTAAACGATAAATGTTGATGATAATGATTATTTGTTGATTTATAATTATAATTGGTCTAATACAAATATGAAGTCTGTTTCTTGCACAAATCATGAATACAAGTAATTCTGTTATTATTGTCTTATTGTTATTACTTCACTGTGGTTCTGGTTCATCAAAAATACGCCATGAAACGATATGGAACAGAGAAGATGATCCTCAAATATCTCATCCTTGTTAACATAGTCTGCAGTTTTCATTTGTGGTTCTTTTTGAAGTGCCGCCTTCATACAAATTAGTAATCTTCGTAGCTTCGGTGGTACTGTGGACGATAATATTGATATATTTGTAATTCCATAAATTAAATAAATATAAAGCAGTTATCTGTTACTCTGGTAGATGATGGGTAGGACAAAAGTATTGAAAGCCACAAATCTACAGTATTTGAGTTACAACTGCTCAAGAAATAATAACAAATCAGTCGTTGCGGTGGTCTTGTCAATACATCGATTGGATGATGGTGGCGATGGCAATGTCTTCAATGAAACCACCAGCGCTTAAATGGCTGACGAAAATAAATCTCAATAGGCCACAACATCAAGAAAAGTGTTATCATCAAAAACTGTTGAATATGATTTTTAAATCGAACAAGGCTAATAGCTTGTCGTTCGGTACAGTTATGGAGAATATATTTGGTTTAACACATAAATCAACATAAGTCTAGTATATATTTTTTTTGATCAATTAAAGAAATTAACAAATTAATTTATATAATAAACAAAAGTACTTTGAACAAGTTTGCCAATATTATGTATGTTAAATTTTATATTTAGAACATTTGGATGTGGGCTTAATTATTTTATGGAATTTAGCGAACATTTCAACGAAATAGTAGACATGAAATAAATATTTAAGTGAACTATGTTGTGTTACGGTAACACAGATTGTTTCTCCATAGTTTGAGGTGTCCTTTCCTTTAGTCCAGATCTGAATTTTGGCGGAAAGCTTGTCTAGCTTTTCTTTGGCTATTGATTATATGTATCTTAGGAACGGTGACGTAGCTGCTTCTGCAACCATCCTTATATTTTTCTGATTTGTTTTGCTTCCTTTTAATAATACTTTAAATGAAAGCGTTCTTTTTATTACCTATTTATAAAATACGACAGCAATCTGAAAAATTATAATGAGAAATGTGCATTATTATATAATGGACAATTCAAAATTGCAATTCAAAATTTAATTTTCCAAATAATTGTGTTTTAATATTTTAATTTCATCCTTAAGAGGATTTTTTTAAATTTTTTCTGAAATTTTTTTTTTTAATTTTCAAACATATTGTCTGAACTTGGTAAGAGACCACATAAGTCATCAAATTAAAGTACATTTAGTGGATGAAAAACTATTTGATAAATATATGAATGAATCGGTTAAGATATGTTAAGAGTTTTGGGTGTTTTGACTAGACTTTTCTTTAGATCTTTCTTTTTAACTCAAAATGTAACAGTTAATACAGAGAATGGACACTCCACAGCCTTATGTACGACTTTTTTTATTGGAATTCATTTCTGCTTTTATTTTGAATAAGTCAAAAATATACTATATTATATATTTCTGTATTTAAATTTATGGATGAAAACATTAAACCTATTAAACGAAGGTCTCTGTACTCAGTTCTAGCTTCACATTTCTTTTTTGATCTTATATATTATATAGGATTATATAGACATTATATTAAAATTAGAAAAACAAAAATGAAGTTAGAAGTTAGAACTTATAGAATATATATATACGTATATAGTGACAAACAACAAATATGTTATTGTTAATTTTGACAATGCTTTACGAATTTCTTTAAATCAATAACAAAAAAAATAAGTAATAATAAAACATACGTATATACATATATATTATTAATATATATATTATATAATATATAATAGTAATAATATATAACGTATATATATACTAGGGCTTTAATGTGTAGTGTGACCAAATAGTCGTGGTATACTGATTCGTACGCAGTTCATACCTCAAGTCATATGCGTAGATGTTCATATTACGCAGGCGCGAGTGCACCTTCAAACCGCTGTTCTTCATTTAAAAAAATACTGATTTGTTGTTTTTGTTTAGTTGTTTTTTATTTAATTTTTTTTTTTTTTTTGTGATTTTTTGGCTGCTGTGCTGCTGACATGTTTTGAAAATTTATTGCCAATGTTATGTGTTGTTACCAATGTTGGACTGTACGTAGATTTGACTCCTGCCATTGGCTATTTTCGAAATTGCTTTGCCATTTCTGCTGCGAGCCATGTCGTATCTTAACCCCTCTGCCGTCCTGCTGCTTTTGCTATTAAAACTGCATTTCTCTGTAGGATCGATCGCAGGCATTCGGTCGGTGTGGGTGTTGACATATATTTGCGGTTTAATTTTTAGAGTCCAATTTTGTGGTGTTTTTGAAATGAAATCTTCGGTTTCGCAAAATTAAAAAGAGACGAAGAAACAGAAGAAGAAGAAGAAGAACAACATCAAAGATACTTTTCAATTGCTTTTAACTTAACTGTTTATTAACTTTGCTGATATTTTCGCCACATATGGTTTTTATGTTTATAACTTGTATTCGTGGTTGTAGCGTTTGAAATTGAAATTAAATTTATGCTCGGTACAGATAGTATGGAATTTTGTGGTTTACTTTGGCGGGTGTTAAATAATTGCATATCGAAACTTCATTCGATAACCGAAAATATGACAAAAATGCCATAGCTGAAGGCCTAATCATAAGACATTTCCATAAATTCATAAGCAATTTTTTCTTTAATCGTGTTTTAAGCTTATATTGAACGATTTCAGAAGTGCTAATATTTACTGTACATATACTACACATATATATATATATGTAAATACATACCAAATTTCAAATTCAAACAGATATGTTCAACATATTCAATACTTTTTAATATACATAATCACTATTGCATAATGAAGTGGCATAGTCAGGATTGTGTCGAGGAGAGGATATATAACAAATTATATTTTTTTATAAATCATAGTCAAGAGAGGGATGTGTTCCCTAAAATTCTCTGGATACGCCACTGGCTTAATGAAAATATATTTTTGTTTATCTATATTTTCTTTAAAGAAATGGTTGTTGCGATAATTTATGGTAGGACCCTACAAGTCCCAGGAGATGACTTCCATTCTTGTTTGTCTTCCGCACGCGCTATTGATGCTTGCCTGGAATGTTGTCCTACTGGTCATACTTCGCGTTAAATTTGTCATATACCTTAGTTTTTGAAAATCGATGATATTTATGTACCATTATCTGTAGATCACTTTAAGTATCAATTTAGTCACATTTATGAATAAGCAAACTTTACGTTAGACTTTTGTTTTTAGTATATACCTTTTGACACCAAGTATATTTTAAGTTTTTGTCACAAAATTGTTTTTATTCCTGTTCCAAGCATGTTAGCTACCTTTAATTTCCTTATTGATTGGATAATTGCTCATCTTAATAGTAGCAATATTGTTATAAATGATATCGCCTCCAAAATTCCTATCAATAATATATTTACTGATTTACGAAAAAAATTTTACAAGCTTATAATATTAGAGAGTCTTGTGATCTGTTATGAGATCCTATTACAGGTAATTGCAATGTAGATGTGTTTGTCAGACAAGTACACTTAGCAACAAATATGGAATATGCTTAAGCAAGCGGTTGTTGTAATCCAAGAAATAGAAGGATTAATGATATGTAGATATATGTTCATGAGTCGGTTCCGCTTAAATATAAAAAATGTAAGTGATAATCATGAAGTTGTTTCATAAAAATGTCAGCCATATTGTGGGTTATGTGCACTGCCGGCTAAAACCATACTATAAGATAAAATGCCGCCTTGAGTTATTCTTGCCATAGCTGTGAGGAAGATGAATAAAGTACTTCACATTTTTCGTTTATTACTGCTCAGAACATGCGCACTACCCGAACTTAGTAAGCTCTCTGAAAGAGCATTTTTGGCACTTTTAAAAGTTTACAATGCTTTTAAAACTGTATTGTATGCGGTATTTGAGATTTTAATGGATCCATTAAAATCAGTAGATATAATAGACATAGCATGACAGACATGAACATTTTGCTATGATCTAAATTTTTATTGCTTCTTATTAGTAGATCAGTTGGATTGACGTCTTCTGATTTTTAGTATTTTTTGGAACTTTTTACAATTTTGTTAATTTTTTTATATATATTTTTGAAATTTTATTATGTTTATATTACCATTTTTTATGCTTTGAAGTTGTACTCACTCAAAATATTAATTTTTGATTTATTACAGAAAAAATAATAGGTGTACATTGCACACATGGGGTAAATCGTACGGGATTTTTGTTGTGTCATTATATGGTGAAAAATCTATCTGTGAAATCGGCGGAAGCTATAAAAAGTAAGTGTGTTGTTTTTCAAAAGAGTTTTAAAAACTTTCTAATTTTGAAATGCGCAGAATTTGGAGAGGCACGTGGACATAGTATAGAACGTAAAAATTATATCCGAGCTTTACATGAGTTAGAGTCTTCTGACGTCACAATAAAATACAAAAAGAATGTAAATATAAAATCAAGTGAACATGAATATAAAAATGTAACTCAATATAGAGATCAAGTTAATAATGAAAGATTTAATTCACGGTATGGTAATGTAGAGGGTTATTATAGACATTATGGTAATTTTAAGTGTAATAATAGATATAATCAAAGTCGTAGAAATATTCAAAATCAATATAGTTATCAATCATTTGCGAGAAGATTCAGAAATAATCAGGAATATAACCGTAATCCTTATGTTTACAGCAATTCAAGTACCTATAATAGACCGCAAGACGAGGTATTTTATAACGATGATTTTTTATGAAACCGTTTAAAACGAATTTTCTGCTAAATTAAGTTAATTAAAAAAGCGCTCAGCTTATTTGAATAATTAATTATTTTATTTATGTTTTCACTAAAAACCAACTTCGCTTTAAATGAAATATTTTTTTTTGGTTCCTTTAAAATCAGTTTAAGAGAATTGTACTGTATATTATTGATGAATTTATTGTTAATTTAATTTAAATTTTTAATTGTGATTCATAAAATCCTTCTTAGTTCATTACATGTAATAATTATAGTGAATAGTGCAAAAGTGTTCATATTTTTATAAATACAATTTTTCACTTTTTGTAAAATAATTAATATAATAATGAAGTACAAATCAATACTTAATTATGCGTAAATTTTAATAAATAAATCTTAAGTAATATATTCATAAAAAAGATTTTTTTATCTAACATATATAGTAAATAGCATATCTTGAAGAAAAATCTATTTCACCATTTTAAAGTATGAAGACATGTATCAAAATTTCAGCCCCCTTCGACTCTTAGTTAACAACTTAAATGAATTTTACTGAAAACACTTTTGATAATTTAAAAAAAATGCATAAAAAAGAGTTGAATTGAAAAGAGAAGAATTGATTAATATGTTGTATTGGAACTCAGATATAGTAAAAGCAGACAGCCCAAAGCCTTATCTCATTACTGCGGATAATATCAAAAAAATCCATTCGTTTTGAATAAGCTTAAATGGAAGTTGAAGGAGATAGCTGCCATTCTATAGATATTAAATGGATGTGTGGGCTATATTTCATATACGCATTTTACTATTAAAAATATGCTCATAGTCGACATAGTTGAAAAACAGCAACACCTTTATGGTTCTAATGGCTCTTCAGATATATTTTAACACAATAAGTTAGATATCTATATATTCATATGAAATTATGGACGGAACCTGAGTCCCTCACTGTACTCTTTTTATATCAAAATACATACAAAAATTTGACTTCTGGTGATTAATGGTAAACTCAGGTTAGGTTCAATGTTCCTATCTAATAACTTCCTATGGTACTAACTTATGTCCCTTCATTCTGCTCATACTATGCTATTGAACAAGTTTCGATATCTTTCGATTTGGGCAGAAACAACAATAACAACAAAAGGTTAAAGCTAACTAAGGTTTCGGCTCCAAGAACAGCAGGGTTTATTCCAGAATCATAGACGATCATCTGATGCTTTTTTTCACTCCCCCAACAGAAAGAGAAAATTTAGGATCCGGTAGATTATTATAATAACAACTACAGTTAAGTTAACCAAGGATGCAACAGTCTGCTGGAAAGTTGATATAATTGTACGTAGCATAACTGTATTTGAGATTGTGCATGGTATTACATTAATTATGTTGACTTTTAACGGTATAGTCCAGGGATTCTTATTTCAATTACAAATAAAGATTACTTTCATTTGGAGACGTTAAATGTTTAAATATTTATGAGAGAGTCATTTTATATAACATTGGCACACATATAAAGGAGTGGCCTTCAAACTCTTGGAAGTTTCTTATCGTCAAATATACCGGCGCGTCGATTTGTTTGAAGTGACAATTGTTCAGTTATAGAGGCGCATCGTATCAGTAGCTAAGTAAATTAAAGACACCACAGAAGTGCGCAGGCGTTCGTTGGAATATTTGCCAGTTTTTGGATCATAATGTTTCTGGTTTTTATATTTTAAACAATTTTCGAGATGTGATCTATATTAAGAGTTGCACCCAATCACTTTGGCATGGAGTTTTGGAGTATATCACCATAAAAGTTATCTGTTGGGTGATATTTATCTTTTTGCGATAGAGAAGGAATTTGCAGTTTTCAGCTAATAGGATTCAAATTTAATGGATTAAAATTATATATAATTTCATTTTAGTTATTTAGGTTTTCGGATGAGATGATATGACTTCTGGCTGAAGATCTCTTTCAAATTTACTTCTTTGGCATCTTGTATATTGGTTAATACTTGAGATGAACCCTCCGGGTCAGAATCACTTGTCTGTAACAAAAGAGAGTCTCCTAACATCCGTTTCAGTTTTGCTATTTATAATGAAAACAATCCGAACTCTTGCAATGGCGGTGAAACGAGTCGTGTTATAATAACTATAGTAGCAATAGTTCCTGTGGTTTTTTTTATTTTCATAGCATATTGCTACTGCATATTCGACTGTGATATCTACTAAATAATAATTTAAGCTTTATTATTACTATTTAAGTTAATTTGAATTACTCGTACACATTTTTTTGAGTTTCTAACAGTTGAGTCGAATGTTAAATGCTTATTTACTATAAGCATGAGTTTCTACTTTTTATATATTGTGTTAGTAAGTACGTTTTAACAGAAGTAAGTCCTTGTACCAATTAAATTTTGAATATAATACTACATAAAAAATATGCGTAAATTTATTTAAAAGGACACAATAACAATATCTTATTTACGAGCATCTTATCTGGATCAGTGATCGTAATGCCTTTACTTGCTGGTACGCACATAATCGCTTACAACATGACAATCTGATGCTTATCGTGCGATATATTCACGATGATATTTTGTTTTCGAGCAAAGGAAAGAAGATGCGTAACTTGTTCCTTTGTAATTACCAACAATTTGTCGCTGTCATGAGTTTACTGAGTTCAATTTAGAATCACATATGTGCAATGCTGATGTTCATCAGTGGTGGAAGTGGTGGAAAGGTACGATCGTACAGGATAAGAGCACAACTGCACACATCACAACTGCTGACGATGATTGTGAGTGAAATCAAGTAGCAAATCGAGCTGAGCAAACAGACTAAAGAATAAAGATTAATTATGAATTGAAAACAAAAGGTAAAGGATGTGGCAAAAAAATATTGTATAATGAAATTGGAAAAGAATTTACAGAATGAAATAAAGTAAAAATATGTTAATGTGACATTTGACCACCATGACGAAATAATGAACCGATCAAGCGCTAAACTCTGAACGCCTAAAGTCATAACAACAGAAATTCCAAAATTACAAGCGAGTGACATGTGTTTGACAAACGAGTGTTCCCCTTTTTCTCTTTGTCACGTTCCACGTTCTTGCTGGCTAGCTGGATGGTTGAATATGGAAGTTGTACTGCCAGCTCTTATGGCAGATGCCGCCGACAATGTTGTTGTAATGATTTTCCAGGAAACGTTCCGTTTGAAATTTGCGTACCGCTGGTATGCAAATTTATGTATCTTCACACGATCTTTTGTGTCAGTAGTATTCGTAACATAAGAAATCAAGCTTTGTAGTTCGGAATTATTGAAGATCAGAAGATGAGATATCAAACTGAAATCACATGTCGCAAATGAATTTTAATTGTTTGTAACTTAAGGGTAATTTTCTGTTAAAGTTTTTTTAATAACATATATGTTATATCATAAAATGTTAAAAAATCTTCAAAATGAGTAAGATATTTCAAAAAAGTTATTTAATCGATTTGCAGTATTTGGCAAAACTTATCACGGTAAGAAAATATAATTAATATTAAATAAATTTTATGTAATTTTAATAATTTATTAATATAATTAATATATAGGTATATAGGTTTATTATTATAATATACTTGTATATAATATATATCAATATTATTATGTTGTATATTATTTATTATGATTAATTGGTTGGTTGGTTGCATTGGCAGGCAATTAGAAAACTTCCATATACCTCAACTAGAGATTTTTCATCGTTTTGCTATACCACATTACTCGCAAGAATCCTAGTATAGAAAAGTAAAGACTAAATCCATCCCACCGAATTTTGTTAATTTAATAAATCTTTTATCTTCACCGATTAACAGTGAGATAAACAATTAAAGAAGTATCTTTCTAAGAACCTATATCTTCTGGACTCCAAAACCGGGCATTCACAGAGCAAATGTGTTATGGTCTCTTTTTCCTGCCGTGTTCCACAACTTCTGCAGTGATGATTCTGAGGAATGCGTAGTTTCTCTGCGTGGGTTCCTACACACCAATAACCAAAAAGAACTGCAGTAAGTCTTGCAGTGTTTACGCGGTCTCTTTTGATGAGTGCCGAGGATCTATTTTCTTATAGGTGTTAATTTGGAAGTTGCACATAACGTAAGTGCTTTCCATCTGTTATTGGTAAGTTACAGAAAGTAGAAAAATGTACTACGATTGAATTTGCATTATTTTTCAACCTATCCCACTAATAACTTAGAGCATCTAAACTATTAAAATAGTTGGTCATTTCAACAATTCCTTAGTTTTGCTTAGAAGAAATGTTTCCTAACCTCAAGAATGAAATATGTTCCCAATATTTCGATTAACACCACTGAACCACTCGTTGTCATAGTGAATAAATGGCTGTTATTGCTCTCGTCGAAGATTCTAATAATAGGTTTCTATGGGGGGCTTACAACAATAACAAGAACAAAATAAAAAATGCATTCGTTTTTACTTGGACAAACTTATAATATATTAAAAATGCACAGAGTTATATATTTTGGATTTACTATGAGTTTCTTTCAGAAAATAAAGAGTTAATTTACTAATTAAGCCCTTTTATATATGAAATAAAAATGTTAGGCTTTTTCTTATCATCAATTTTAACTCTATGATAATGAGTATTATAATCAGTAAACTTAAACGTCAATTACCCAATGGTATCGGGCTAAGGAGTTGGGATTTATAATCCGCTGACCATGGTGTGTTCCGCATAATAGTCTGCTCGCTAAGTGATATATATAAGAGGGTTCAAAAATATTTAAAACAACACCTCAAATATTTAGTTATATAGGGAGAAGTACTGCTCACTATAGAATAAGGCCTTATTCATTCTCAGTTATAATATTTAAGTTTTGGTTTAATATGATCATGGTGTGTTTTACTTGATATTTTCTCATTCATTCATTATTTATTATTCAAGTTATTCGAAGGTATCTTGTTTTTCATTTATTATGATATAGTTTATAAAAGTTTATATATATAGTTTATAGAATTATTATGAAACAGTTTTCCATTCATTCATTGTGGTATAGTTTTCAGTTTATTATGATATAGTTTTCCATTTATTATGATATATTTTGCATTTATTACGTTATTTGTTTTTGATGGAAATGTGTTTATTGTAATAGAATTACCCTATTACAATGAAATGTGTCATCAGCCTCTTAAGTAGTTTTCTCTTTCTTTACTTTCATTTTTCGTTAATTCATCTTTTAATCATACTTTTTATCTATAGCTTAATCTGTGGAAGTATATTTTATAAAAAAATATTCTTAACATATTTAAATAT